CAAAATGTTTTATTTCTCACACACAAGTACTAAATTTCACGAAATAGATGTAGGGAGAATTTGGGAACATATGTGTCGGAACTTGTGGGGATGGAGGGAAGAGGACTCGCGGTCGTGTTAACCCCCCACTTGAGTAAATTGGAATAATCATGAAGTTATTCTTTTAGATGTCGATTATGTAGCTTTCATATTTTTGTTGGATCAAGAGTGTTTAGTTCTGTAATGTTGTTTTCAAACCATTTCTCAAGTTTAGATCTGAACTTATTTTTTTCATACTCAAATACTATGTTTCTATCCTTATGATTCCAATGATTGAATACTCTTTGATTAATGAACCGGTAGTGTATGTCAGAAAGTAGAGGCCGCTCTATTTTGAGACCATTTCCTCGCAGTTGATTCGATCTACTTGTTGTATTTTGTAAAGGGATTGGAGATGGGCACCAATAGTATCCGTAAATGAAATTGTGAGCAGCAGTTATGTCTTTCTTTAAACGTCTTTGCCAAAGGGTGTTTAGTCCAAGACGTTGAAGTCTTTCTTCGTAATTCATTTTTAGGGAAAAAGTCTTTTAGTAAATTTCCTTTGAACTGATTCCAATCTATCGATATCTGTTCTTGTTAGAGGACAGAAAAGTTCTGACCCATATTCAAGAACAGGTAAAATCTTCAACTTGTAGCAGTTCATGAAATTAGTGTGCGAGAAGGTAAAACATCTAAAAAGATTATTCACAATTTTCATGCATTTTTTCACAATTACATTCACGTGACCATTCATTTTTAAATTAGAACTAAAATGTACTCCCAGATCTCTGATGAATACATCTGTTGGAATTTTTGAGCTATTTATTCTGTAAGAAGGGTTCTCAGTATTGGATTTACCATATCTGACATGTATACTCTTTGAGCTCGAAAGGACAAGCTGTCTATCTGCTAACCATTCATAAATAGAGTTTAAATCTTCCTGAAGCTTATGTTCGAAATTTTCTATCTTTGAGCTTATCATTAATTTACAATCGTCGGCATATGTTAACAGTTCGCTGTGTTTGACTACTTTATCGATATCATTGATGTAAAGAAGAAAAAATAAAGGACCCAAGCAACTACCCTGTGGTACACCCGAAAGTACGGGAATTTCATCGGATAAAGCTTCATTTATGCGTACCATTTGGGTACGTCCAATGAGATAGCTCTGAAACCAGGAGAGTAGCCGACCATTGCAACCATAGGATTCCAGTAAGTTCAACATTCTGCGATGTGTTACGGAATCAAAGGCTTTACTTATGTCCAGATAAATTACGTCTACTATGGCTTTTTTTCATACACGTTTTTGAATCAAATATTTTTTTGCTTTTTGAAGCAATTGCGAAACAGTATTTCTGTTGTTCAAAAAAATCCGTATTGTGCTTTGGATATTATGTTTTTGTTCCAAAGATGATTTCTTAATCTTCTAACGATAATGGATTCGAGTACTCTGCATGGGACACATGTTAAACTGACAGGTCTGTAGTTTTTGAGGCTCACTAAGGCTTCCTTTCTTATATATAGGTCGAACTATTGATTTTTTTCCATAAACTGGGCAAGCATGAGGTGTCCAATGATTTTTTTGGAAAATCATTGATAAAGGTAGTGCCAAAGGGGCCGCTAGTTTTTGTATTATGATATTAGACAATTTATCCGGACCGGCAGAATGTAAAGGTCTAAGCTTCTTCAAACATTCGTATACGATATATGGATCAACGTTTATTTCTTCCATACTTCCAACCGAGCTCGTATTATTTATGAATGGTCTCTCATCGTCTTTAGTAAAAACTGAGCAGAAAAAATCGTTAAAAGCCTGAGCTTTCTCATTATCATCGTTGGTGCATCCATTTTTAGTCTGCATGAAAGGCGGATCAACGAATATGGTGGTCTTATTTCTAATATAATTCCAGAACTTCTTGCTGTTTGGTCCTTTATCGATAGCTTTCTCTTCTTCTTTAATTCTAAAAATCTTTGATAGCTTTCCGGTATTTCCACCAATTAGTTTTTATAGGTCGATAAGTCTTCGGATTTATTCGATTTTTTTATATTTTATGTAGGAATTTTTCAGAGTATCTCTTCAGTTTCATTATCTCGGATGGTAGATTAGACTTTTTTTGATAGTTTTTCTTGGGTATAAATTGATCAATTAGTGGCAAAGTTATATTCAAAAAAGTGCTGTACATTTTGTCAGCTGTGTCACATGTACTGAAACGATAATTCCAGTCAATCCAAGCCAATCTCTGTCCTAAAGATTCGAAATTTGCCTGTGAATAATCATTTACAGTAAAACGCTTTTCGATGTTAATTTTTGGATTATTTATGTTCAATTTGCAAGTGACTGTTGAGTGATCAGATAAAGGCTTTTCAATTTTTATATTTTCCACCATATTTTTCTTAGACGTGAAAATTAGATCCAAAATATTGTTTCCACGAGTACTCTGCTTTACCTTCTGCGAGAAACCCTTATCACACATTATATCAACAAAACTACTACTCACAGAATCAGTCGACTTCAGTGTATTCCAATTAATTTGTGGGAAATTGAAATCACCCACAATTATGTGCTGCCCATCTCCAACTTTTTTGTTTATAGTTGCCAACAAGTTTGTGAACTCAACTGTGAATCGAGGGTCCCAACCAGGCGGCCTGTAAACTGATGTTAGATACCATGGATTTTGCATTTTCGTATCTGCTATTCTTATTGTTAATGCTTCAATGGATTTTGACACGTGTCGGTTCATTTCTTGACAGTTGAAAGATGTGGCACATAGTGTTAAAAGACCTCCTCCTTTTCTATTGTTCCTACAAACGTAGAAACTCTGAAAACCTTTAAAATGCGTCAATAGGTTTAGGTCATCTTGTTCTGAAAGCCAGGTTTCACAAAAAACATAAAAACTCGAAAATTTTGGCTGGCACTCAAAATCCAATATATTCTTCTTACTTTTCAAACCTCGAATATTCGCTATAAAAATCTTGTGTCCACTCATTGTGTGGAGTTGGAAACCGTCTTATAGCCGCTCTCCTCCTGAACCTGCTCCTCAAATGGGGTAAATGGGGTAGGATTCTTTTTCTTGACGATGGTCAGGTCACGCACGACGTATGTATAACTTCCTTCTTTGCGATTTAGCTCACGCGCATAGTTTCTCAGACGTCTGTCCTCGGCTAGTTCTTCGTACGAAAGATCGTTTCTCGCGTAGCGGCAGAAGGAAGAAGATCCGATGGTACACTTGATGAGCCGATGGTTGTAGTCGTTTCGTAGTTTTATCTTCACTACCCGGTTTTTGTTGTCCTTCCGTTCTCCGTGGCGCCAGACCTTCTCAACGACGTCAGAAGAAATTCCTTTTGCGCCAAGGATTTCCTGGACGGCTTCTTGAAGGTTCTCGTCAGTCGACTCCGGTACACCGATCGCAACAACGGTCAGGTCTTTCTCGTGTTCTTCCCTCGAGCGAAGAGCCTTCTGTGCTTGCATGGCATAAGCAAGCGGCGACGTCATCGGTTCGTGCGGCTTCGGAGTGGAGGCGGCTTCGGCATAACTCTTCTGACGGGCGTCCGCTAGGCACTTGCGGAGCTCGGAGCAAACTTCTTTGAACTCGTGGATCACGTCAGCCTTCTCTCGGTTGTCCACTTTGAGCTCTCGGATAGTATCATTAAGAGAATTTATTTCGGCAGTCTGTTCTTTTACCTTCTGTTCCATTTCACGAAGGCGACATTCAAGCTGATCCTTCGTTGTACGACTGGTCATTTTGATAGTCGACCTCTTCCAATGAAGTGAGAAGCGTGGAATGAAGTGAGAAGCGTGGAATGAAGTGAGAAGCGTGGAATGAAGTGAGAAGCGTGGAATGAAGTGAGAAGAAACGTTCTTTTTTGAATTTTTCTTTCTTTCAATATGAAATATAGAAATTTACTTTGTACTATCTTTTTAGAAACAGAAGGAGGGTGACCTGAAAAAAAGCCACCGAATTTTCGAACGGCGACTTTTCCGATTTTTTGTATCGCTAGGGATCTTTCCGACTTTTTTTCCTTGTATTTTTCGATTTATAAAACATCCAGTAACCTTTTTTTTCCACTTTCTTTGTGTTTTAATCATGAACCAACTACCTAGTTCATATAGGAAGATTCAAAACGACGAGTTTATCGAGAAAAAAAAAGTCAGAAAAGGAATAGTAGGAAGTTCTCCGTTCCTTCGCGATATGAAAAAATCAAAAAAGTCGCCGTTCGAAAATTCGCTGGCTTTTTTTTCATACCACTGAAGTAGCGTTAAGCCTTTATAGATTAATTGAAGCTACTTTGATTGAAAAATTTTTGTAAATTGAATCCCTTGTGAACTTTCGAGTAAAGTTCCTAGTGCGATTGACTAAATACTGGGCAAACCAAAAAATTCTTGAAGTGAAAATTTTGCATTTTTTACTTCTCAGAGAATTTTTTTCGCGAAAAACTGGCTGCAAACTTGCAAAAAGCTATAGATCCTTCGAAAATTTTTATAACCTTCCTAGTTTTTGAAGTCGATAATTTTAATAGTTTCGAGAATTTTCTTCAAATATTTAACAAAATCTAAGCTTCAAATTTTCCCCATATTTTTAAAGCCATGACTAAAAAATTCCTTCAATTGCTCAGAAAAAAAATATTTTCAAAAATATCACTTCTAGAAGCCGATTCCATTTCAACGGGCTACAGTTACTACGTAAATGACGGAATTTTCGGCTCTTTCAATTGCAAAATCTTCGACCACATTGACCCCATCGGAGAGCCTCTTCATGTGAATTCAAGTCTTCTTTTCTTAGGTAAAATTAAAAAGTTTCCAGGAAACTACAGGGCCAGAATTCCCGACAACGATCTGGGGTCCAACCTGCGACAGTATCGACAAAATCGAGGTATTTTATTCCAGTTGCGGATTTTTTAGCCTCTTTTTTCTTTATCTTCTTCTTTCAACTGGAATAAAATGATTTCTATAGACTCAACTGTCAAACAGAAGAAGATTTTTGAGAGTTGAATGTCTCTTAATTTTTGAAAAAAATAAAAGCTCAGTTCAAAAAGGCCTATTTTACCGATTCTGATTATTTTTTTATGACTTTGAAAAAAATAAAAAAATGTGCAGGGCTGAACCTTTCAGAATCACTTCACGGTACATGAAAAAAAGAAAAATTATTCTGGCCATTTTTTTCAGGAATTTTTTTCTGGAAAAAAATAGAACCTTGTAAGTGAAATTTCCTTCGTTGTAATAAAAAAATTCTTGATAATAACTTAAAAAAATTATATATCAATTCAACTTTCAGACACGAAAACTGATGCCTCGATTAAAAAAATGGGGACTGGATTTACTACGATACGATGGGCGCCTACACCGCATCTGCAGCATCGACTTTCAATGGATTTTCGAAGCCGCCGACTTTCCATTTCATGAGCCAAAAAAAATGTTGTGAGTTATTGGAAAGAACATTCTGGGCATTTACGGAATTTTTATAGTTTCTTTGAATTCCGAATTTTTTTCAATACTTCGAAACAATATTACAAAACCTCTTGAAAAAAAGCAAAATTTTTTTCTCAAACTGCTCTAACTTCAACAAAAAAAGTATCCCAAAAAAATAATTCTCAAGAAAAAAAAAAGATAACTAAGCGCATTTCGAAACTGTGGGGCTTTTTATGACATTATTTTTCTCATTTCAATGAAAGTTTGATTACATTTTATGCTTGAAACCGCCCGCACTTTATAGAAAAAGTACTAACGAAATTTCCAAATGAAAGCTATTTATAAACTGCTCGCGAGTTTGACGGAGAAAAGGTGGAGGATCATTGAATTTTTGAACAAGAAAAGAAATTTATCAACCAATTTACAAAAAAATATCATTTTTCAGGGAATCGCTACAAAACTCCAGACACCTCTCGAACTTGGGATGATCGAACTGTTCAAAATTTTTTTTTTCGGATTTTATGTCGAAATAAAGGTTCCCTAACTACTTGTAGAATTATAATTTATTGCATACGACCTCAGGGACTTTACACATTATCAATATTATGTATCAAAGCTTATAATTGAAAAGTCATTGGTTGAACTTTTCTCAAAAATCGAAACGTCTGCTCATTTCATCAACTTTTTTTCATCCCAATTATAGTTAAATCATCGGGAAAAATAGATTGATTATCATTTAAAAAAAGTCAAAAATTCTTACAGTGAGACAAATAAAAAAATATAATTTCCCTGATCAGTCAATGATATTTAAATCAATTTTTCATGAGCTTCTTCGAAATTCGCTAAATTTTTTTGAAAGTTCACTTAATCAATAATTCCGCGCCATTTTTCAGGCCGCATTATCTCATTTCAAAGAAAAAAATTTAACAGAATCAGTCATAAAATTCAGAAAAAAACAGCTTTGCAGAAAAATCGTGGTTATTAATTCCTTTTTTTCATTTGAAGTGTTAAAAATGATCGTTATCAAGCTATTTCATGCAGTTTTTTTATGAATTCGATTTTGAGAAAAGAAAAATTAAAGTAAAAAAAAAACTCCACCTTGACACCAAATTTCCCTTCAACTTGATCGAATTTACTCTTCTCATTTTCAGTCATTCTCTTGAAATCTTTCTGAAAAAGAAGAAAATCATTCAAGTACCTTCAGAAGCCAACACGAAACGCAGAAACCGAGAAAAATGAGAAAAGATTTATTTGAGGTGGATTGGAATTGTACAATTTTACAGGAAGAAGCTTGTACTTGGAGGGGACTTTAGACGGATCTTTTGACGATGACCGAGCCGTAGGTACCGTAAGCTCCGTAGCTACCGTAGGCGGACGGGTAGAGGCCGGAGTAGCCGGGATAGTAGCCACCGTAGTAGCTGCTGTATCCCGGGTAGTAGGCAGAAGCTCCGGCGTACTGTAATTTGGGGTTTGAAAAGGTTTTTTTGAGTTGAAATAAGGAGGTTCTGAAGGAATGAAGTGGTTTTTAAAGGGTAGTTTTGAAATTATAGAGTTTCAAAATGGTTTTTTGAGGTGAGAGTGAACCAATATAGTTTCCTGGCGCAAATCTACAATTTTTAAAGTTCAATAAATGGGTTGAAGGGTGAATTTGCAATCCTGAAGGTTCAGAAGGTGCAGTGATCAATGTAGTTCAGAATTTTCAAGTCTTGGGTAATTTTAGAAGTTTTAGGGGCTTTATTCGCTCAGAAACACTAATATTTAATAGCGAGATACAAAGATGTAGTAAAAAAATGTTTTTAATGAAAAGTTTTTTTAGAGATTTTTTTCAAGCCGATTTTTCAAATTTTTTGAATTTCAGAGAATGCCAATTTCTTTAAAAGATCTGAATTGAAATATTTCGGTGATTTTTGAAAAAAATTTTTTTAGTGTCGTACTGGCTCAAATTCATGGAATTTTAATAGGAGGATACGAAAAGTAGGAAAATATTCTTATTAAGAAACTTCGGAAGGCACAGATTTTTCATTTTATAAGTTCATAGAGTGGGAATTTCTTGACAAGATGTGAATTTGACGATTTTGATGATTTTGAAAATTTTTTTAGCGTCTGAATGGCTCAAATCCTTTAAATTCCATTGGAAAGACACGAATAACTATTTGAAAATTCTTCTGATGAGAAGTTTTCGAAGCATTTTTAAAAAAAATGAACTGATAGAATCGAACTTTCAGAATTATTCTACATGGCTATCAACAACGCTTTTCAGAGGTTTTTTTCTAGAGAAGCTAGAGAAATTGAGCTTACATATTGAGCAGAAGCCGGCTGGAGGACGGCCAAGACGGCGACGAGGGCAAGGAGGATGAAGCTGAAAATTTCCAAGCTCTGAATAAAATCCAAAACCTTGAAATTACCACTTAGCAAAGGCCATTTTGTTGTGGAGGAAGTTTGAACCGAAAATCGGATAGCTTTTCGGCATTCGCCGTCCGGCTTTTATACGCCGTTTCCAGCTTTTCCGGGCAAGTTATTCTTGCGCCGCGCGTTCAAATATTGGAGTAACTCTTTTTTTTTCTCGCTTCCATGAGCCGCCGACCAATTTGCGTGCTGGTATCGATCTCTGATTTTTTCGCTGTCACTTCACGCCTTTCCCCGAGCTATTTCTGGTTTCTATCAACCAACACGGAGGAGTATATAAGCCGCGAATGAAGTTTGAATCTTCACCAGCTCAAAAATGTCGTCTGTCAAGTGGTAAGCGATATTTTTAGAAGTTTTCGATTTTTTAAAATACCATCTAGGTTATCTTTGAATTACACTAGCCCCAAGCCTTCAAATATTTTTTGTCTGAAATCAAATTTTTTCATATGATAGATATGCGCTCAAAACTCATAAAATAGAAAAAATTAACTTCAAATCTCAAAGCTCGAAAAATAATCTTTGAAAAGCTTGTCTCGATTTTGGGTTTTCAGCTTCATCCTCCTTGCCCTCGTCGCCGTCTTGGCTGTCTTTCAGCCGGCTTCCGCTCAATACGTAGGCTTACTTTCTCTTACTTTTTCTAGAAAAAACTCCGGAAAAGCTCAAGCCGTTCAAAACAACTCTGAAAGCTCAAAAAAGAAGTCATCTCAGCAGTTCCTTTTTAGAGGGACTTAAGAAAGCGTGAAGAGTTAAAAACAAATCTCTACCTATTATTAGAATTTTCTACTACTTATTCATATCTCTTCAGTGAATTTGTGCCAATGGGACTCTAAAAAGATTCGTAAAACCTTCAAATTCAGATCTTGCAAAGAAATTGGCACTCTCTGAACTTCGAAAATTGAAAATCAGCATGAAAAATAGCCCAAAACTTCTCATTAAAACATTTTTACTACATCTTTGTATCTCGCTATTAAATATTAGTGATTCTGAGCGAATAAAGCCCCTAAAAACTTCTAAAATTACCCAAGACTTGAAACTTCTAAACTACATTGATCACTGCGCCTTCTAATCTTCACGATTGCAAAATTACCCTTCAACCCATTTATTGAACTTTAAAAATTGTAGATTTGCGCCTTCAGAAAACTTTAGTGGTTCACTCTCATTATTTTCACCTCAAAAAACCATTTTGAACCTCTATAATTTCAAAACTACCCTTCAAAAACAACTTTATCCCTTCAGTATCTCCTCATTTTAGCTCAAAAAACCGTCTCAAAACCCAAATTACAGTACGCCGGAGCTTCTGCCTACTACCCGGGATACAGCAGCTACTACGGTGGCTACTATCCCGGCTACTCCGGCCTCTACCCGTCCGCCTACGGTAGCTACGGAGCTTACGGTACCTACGGCTCGGTCATCGTCAAGAGATCCGTCTAAAGTCCCCTCCAAGTACAAGCTTCTTCCTGTAAAATTGTACAATTTCCTCTCAAATAAACCTTTCTCGATTTTTTTCCGTTTTGTAGTTTCGAAATGGCTTCTGAAGGTACCCGAAAGAGGATGATCTTTTCAAGGATTTATTGAAAATTAGAAGAAACAAGAGTTCGATAATTTTGTACGTGACTGTAAGAAAACCGTCAGTTCATTTCTCCTCCATAGTCTCATACTGTTCTGCCGTGTTCAAAGTGATTTCCGTGTAATGCAAAATTATCTCTGACTCTCCAAAATTAAGTTATCTTTTTCTTCCTCTGACGGCTATTTCGGAGTCACTTTGAACCGTTAACTACTGGGATAAGTTTTAGGGGCCCCTATAGGGGGTCGCGATTTTAGGGGGCCCTATAGGGGGTCTGCAAGTGGTCTTTTTAGGGGGAAATCCCTAGGGCCCCCTATAGGGGGTCCCTAAATCGCTCCCCTAAAAATTGCAAGACCCTCAAGGGGTCGCGAAGACCCCTTGGAACGAACGTGGTTTTTTTAAAAAAATATCTTTCCCATTTTCTAAGTTTTGAGTTGACTCAGTCGACTCAGTTTTTAGTTTAACTTTATAACTTGTATTTATATTTCATCAATTTCTATGGTGCTTAAGGAAGTAATACGTTATTCACGAACGAGTTGTCAGTAGGATTTTTTTCGTTATGGTTTCAAATTGTATTATAATGATTTGTGCGTTTTTTTGTGCTCCATAAAAAGTAACACGGCAATCTGTACATTGGTTCAGTATTTTTCAGTGTTTCGTTTATGTACAATTGATATATTGGGTTATGTAAATATGTTCAGAGTATTTTTATTTTGGTATTTTTCAGAGTTTCGTCTATGTATAATTGGTCTACTGGATTGTGTGAAACCGTTAGAAATTCACCGGTAGATGATGTTTGTTGGAGGTTTTTGATGTAAATGCGTGTTTATATATTCTATTTGATTATTGCTCGTTAAAGAAGACTTAATTTTTTTATTAAGATGCCGCGGAGTCGCGATTTTTATTGATGCGCATTGGTTCTACAGCAGCGATGAAGATTCTGAAAGGTATATCGAAAATGTTGATAATGATAAATGATCGTAGAAGCACGGAATCAGCCGACGGAAATTTTTGAGCCGCCACATGAACCAGAATCAACGGAAGATTACCGCGGGCCGAGCAATTCAATAAGTTGCTTTCAAATGTCAACGTTGGTTGTTTTTTGCTCACTGTTCAATTGTTCTTTTTTATATTTGCCAAACTTTTTGCCCTTATGTAAGTAGTTTCAACCGTTTCCGTGTCGAAGTCCCAACGTTTTTTATTGAAAGTTGCCCAACCATCTGCCTTGACACAATGCGTTTTTCTTCTATTTTTTCGCAAGTAGCGCTTATATCAATATGCTTTAGGCGTATCTTTATTGTCTTGAAGAGCTTCTATTAGATTGATCAATACGGTTTCCGTTGGCAGTGATTTAGACGTGTCAAATATTTATACGGGTCTTTTACGGCCAAAAGTTTTTTTGCTTCCTCGAATATCCTGTTACCTTGCTCGTTGTTTTGTTACTTATGTCTATCTGTTTCCATTGATGATCCTGATTGCTTTTAATGTTTTCAATTCGTTTCAATAAATTTGGAAACAGTTTCAAACGCGATGAGATGAGTTTACTGCGGATGTGTTAACGATTCGCATTCAATAAGGGGTTTCTCTATTTCCTCCCGGAGCTATTTCAGAAATTTTCCGTGCCCCCCTAAAGGGACCCCTAAAAATTCGTAGGGGTCCCTATAGGGGTTTCATTTAGGGACCCCTATAGGGGCCCCCTCCAAGGGGCCCTAATTTACCCCCTATAGGACCCCCTAAAACTTATCCCAGTAACTTGGTTTTTTCGAATAATCTCTGGCCTCTACCCACTTTCCCATGATGCCTATCTTTCTCTCTCCATCCCCTCGTCTCTCTAACTTCTCTCTTCTCTCTCCTCGCCACTGAACCATGTCAATCACCTCGACGGCAGTGGGACATGCAACATTACACAGTCAAGAACCACCGGCCCGGTTAGCTCAGTCGGTAGAGCACCAGACTCTTAATCTGGCTGTCGCGGGTTCGAGCCCCGCATCGGGCTTCAAACACTTTTTGGTAGTTTGTATTTTACAACATAATTCAAACTGATTCAGGAGCTTATTTTTTTGAAGAAAGGATAATTTTTTTATCAAAATAAATCGATAGAAAATATTAAATAACCATTCTTATTTCTTGTAACTCAAAAAAATAAAGATTTTTTTCGTTGATTTTTAGATACAAAACATGAAAAAAAATACGAGAATAAAAGGTTTTTGGTTTTTTTACAGCATTTTGAAAAAAATTTTAATGAAGCTTCATTTTTCTCAACTTAAAGCTCACTTTCAAGAAAAAATCTGAGATTCAAACCACATTTAAAGCATCACAAAGTACAGATCACGATTGGAAAAAAAAACCTGAAATGGATACCCAAAAAATCATAGAAATACCAAAAAATCAGTGTTTGCGGGATTTGAATGTGTAGAAGGAGACGATGAAAAATGTGGTGACGTAGAAAATGGCGGTTGTGGAGAGGCCGGTCAGGTAGACGAAGCTGGGGACACAAAATCCACGGCTTTCTGGAAGTTATAACAAATTTACTAGTGAATAGATGCAATATTTCGGTGGTATGAAAAAAACACCGGCGAAAATTCAAACGGCGACTTTTCCGATTTTTTCATATCGCTAGGGATTTTTCCGACGGCCACCTTTCCGACGAAACTTTTTCCGACTTTTTTTTCTCGATAAACTCTTCGTTTTACATCTTCCTATATAAAGTAGGTAGTTTGTTCATAATTAAAACACATAGAAATAGGAAAAAAAATGTTCATAGACGTTTTATAAACCGAAAAAGCATAAGGGAAAAAAAGTCGGAAAGGGATTCGTCGGAAAGGTGGCCGTCGGAAAGTTCCCTAGCGATATGAAAAAAATCGGAAAAAGTCGCCGTTTGAATTTTTCGCTGATGTTTTTTTCATACCACCAATATTTCAGGTGGAAACTTTGAAAAAAACTCTCAAATAATGGATTCTTAAAAAAACTAGGCAAATATAATTCATTTTGAACATAAAAAAAATAAATTTCCAACTGTGTTCCTCACTGAAAACAGACTAAGAAAATGTCCAAAAAAAACTTTTGCAAAATAAAAAAATTCAGAAAATTAAGCTTCTGCCATTCAAAACTTTTTGAGAATGTAAAATCATAAAAAGGGCTAAGTTAAAGCTTAACTTACTTTAGTTATGAAATTGAATTGAATTTATAATCTCGAGGAGTTTTTTTGAACGATAAAAAAACCTAAAAAAATGCTCCTTTGGTAATATTTTTCCTTTTTCCAAATAAACCAAAATCCCAAAAAAATAAAAAGTTTTGTTAATAAATTTGATACGATGCGAGAGATTTATAAATTCGTAAATAAAAAAAAGCGGTGCAAAAAAATAAAAAAATTTCTTTGATTTTTCTAAGGCTTAGTTGAGGTTCCAGCAGATGAATTTTTGAAACTTATCTTCTTTTTTTCGATTAGAAAACTTCAAAGACATCAAGAATCATGATTTTTCTCAATTTTATCCATAAAAAAATTCTGAAAAAAATAGTGGGCTCAATTCAAGTCTAGGTGCCCTAAAATAAGCTTTTCAGTTAGATCTCATCGAAACCTCGAAAAATAGTTGAAATCTCGAAAAAAATCATCATTTCCACTTCATTTCACTGCGAAAAAACAATGCGAATCGGAAATAACTGCCATTTTTGACGAATTTTTAACGGAAAAGTTAAATATTCGTTTAGTTTCTGATTTTTTACTCTCGAAGTAGTCAAAATTTGAAAAATTCCATATTTCTTCGATGAAGACATTTCCATTGAGATCAGTGTACAAAATACCTTTTTTTGTCTATTTTTCAGGCAATCCAAAGAAAACCAGTCTTCCTAAAGCCTTGAAGGCCCTGATTTTAAGCTAAAGGACGTTTTTTTTTTCATTTCAGAGCTTAGGAAAAGAAAATTCACCATTTGCACTCGATTTCGCGTCCTTCAAAGCCGACGAATCCGCGATTCTAAGCGCCTTATTGACAGCTATCACGTTTTCATCAACTAAAAGCTGTTGTCGGATCGACTCGCGACGATTTCGGCCCGGACCCGGCTCTTCACATTTCTGAAATTCCCTATTATTCTCGACAATTTTATTCAGCTCACAGGTTTGCTCGAGCAGAGATCCTCTTCAGAGTGTCCAGTTAAGTGCAAATGCTCGAATCTGAACTTTTCCACGGTTTATTTCCATTTTTGAAGCTTTAATGAATCTACCGTCGAAGGCAGGGCTTCAAAGTGCAGCGGAAGAAAATCTCATCATTTTCCGGGAAACGGAAAGCGATGAGTTCGGCAAAGGCGCGGTCAAAGTTTTGGGAATAGCTGAAAAGAAACATTCATAATATTTTGAACTCAAAAAAAGGGAAAAAGTGCGGAAGAAAGGTCACTCTGTGGTTGAGAATTTCTTGAAAAATGGCCTTGATGCAAGAGAAAAAAAGGTTCTGAAAGCCTTAACCTTCACATTCTTCCAAGTTTTTGGGAAAAAAATACCCTAAAATCAAAGAAAACCGTCAAAATCCTTTAAAATAAGACATTTTCAAGCTTTGAGCCCTTGTTTATTGATGTCCTATCTCAGCTAACTTTCAGAGTTTTTCTTTTAAAAATTTAGCCGTCCTTTTTAAAAAAACTAGAAAGTTGTTTAGGTTGAGGCTTCCAGGACCTTCATCCAGTTCTTCAATCTATTTTTTTCAAATAAATCCTAATCCCAAAAAAATTATCTCACTCGTTAGATACTTCAAGGAAGATAAGATTCAAAAATCAAGTTTTCTAGCAATCCAATCTAGATTTAAAAAGTAAATTTTTTAAAAAAATCGACAGCAATATTCGAATTCTTTTTCTGTGTCTTGAATTTAACTTTGAAAAATAACTGATATTTTCTATTCCTTCATCCTTTTTTTCAATTAAAAAAATCTTTCTAGTATTAAAATAACAAGTTTACTCAATATTTTACGCTTAACTATATGAAAAAAACGACCAAATCATGTTTCCATCCTTTTTTTGACACTATTATTCTAAATAAACTTCAGATTTCGAACCGTTTTTTTACTGATATCTAAATTTGAAATAAGATGGTAAACCTTTCAACCAAATATTTTGAAAAAAACTGATTTTTTTCTCAATTTTGGCGAAAAAAATATTCTCTGGATAACTCTTATTTACTTTTTTTCTGGTTCCCTATCCTCAAAAAAATATTGACAATGAGATCAATCATTTAATTATGATCGCTCAGCTTTGAAAAAAAATATCAAATAAATTCCTTTTCAAAAAAACTTAAAAAAAGGCTTCCGAATGGATTTTTCATAATGAAAACAGTCTTCTTGCTGCCATCCATGATGCATTTCAGTATCGATTCGGAAAAAAGAAGAATGACCAAAAAAAAAATCAATAAAGATCAGTTATTCATAATTTTTGAGATAAACTCATCAAGCATTGAACTTTTTTCATTTTCTACTAAATTTAACAACAAAATCACAATTTTCATGATGAAAATCCGTTCGAAATCCCTTTTTGAAGATTTTAAAAGAGCAGAGGTTTTTTAGAAAACAATATAACACGAAGAATGGTTCTTCTACTGAATAAAATTCCGAAGTCTCAAGATTTTTCTGTCAAAAAAACTCAGCGAGATATTTTTTTAAAAGACACTTTTTCTTTTTCTTTTTTTCCAATATCCGCCCTGAAACTCTGACTTAAATAAATATTATTTCATTTTTGATCGATCCCAAGCCAAAATAGACATTTCTCATCCATTTTCTCCGTTCCCACCTCACATCCGACACCAATTCTTGGTCCAAACTACATCCATCGGTCAGAATTCGCATCCCATTGCCATCCGAGGTCTCGGCATCGCAGTCTTGTACCCGTACTCCATAGAAATTCGCTGGAAACGATGAAAAATCATCCTTTATTTTCTGGAAAACTCACAAGTCGGCTGTTGAACCGACCAAATAATGAGAAGCTGCTCTCCGATATCAACTTGGTCTTTTACCGATTCTTCCACAAAAATGTCAGAAAATGTGGAATTCAGAATATAAAATAACAGCCACATTTAGAATGGCTTTCAATTTTTTTCCAACTTTTTTCGACGCGCAAGTCGTTTCAAGTCGGTTGCGAATAAAAATCTTGAAAACCGGATGAAAATCCTTGCTCTCAATCAACTAAACTTCTCAGTTTTAAATAAAAAGCGCCCAAATTCTCGAAATCGCCAATTTTGACGGCTTTTTTCTACTCGGAAGCTGATTTTCTCGACAAAAGTTTTTTTCGTTTTTCAGGCCAAATAATTGAAATTTCTTCACTTTTCAGATCAAAAAACCTCTCAAAAGCTAGAAAATATGTGCAGATCAAAAGCGTTTTTTATAGTACACCAAGAAGTTTGGTCATCAATTTTCAAAATATCCCAACTTGATAGTAAAAAAGAATCTGGAATTTTTAAAAATGTACCAGGTCAAAATCCTGAAGGTCTCAACCTACAATAATTCCTTAATTTCGAAAAAAAAAGTCGAAATCTTAAAACTGCCAATTTTGAAGGCTTTATTCGACTGTGAAGTTGATTTCCTCAGCTAAATTCAACGGTTTTTTCAGGTTTCAGGCCAAATATTTAAAATTTCTCCAATTTTTGATCCAACAAACCTCTCAAAACTGAGAAAATTGCGCAGAGAGAGAGATTTTAAAAAAAGTAAAACTAGGAGTTTCGCATCAGTTTTTAGAAAATCCCCAACTTGATAGTAAAATGACCATTCTTTTGAGGTTCCAAACCGATTTCGTGACAGATCCAGCCCGGATAATGTTCATTTCGGCGGAAAGTTCTTCGAAAAAGCCGCTGACTAGCAGCGACGGCTTCTTGCTTCTGTAATTTTCAAACTGATCCACCAAATTTTAAGCCTTCTGTTTCTTTAAATTTCATTGAATCTCCTCTTTGTCTCACTCAGGTAAAAGTTGGGAAGATCTGCTTTCGGTTCCTCGGAAAGCGTTTGGAAGCTTTCCAGCAAATGGTCGAATGCTTTCCACTTTTGAACATCTTCTACTTAAAAAAAGCCTGCCGGAAGCCTTTCAGAAGCTTTCCAGTAGTCTTCTGGAAGGCTTCTGGCAGGTACTTTCCAAATACCTTCTATCTACCTCCCGAACACCTTTTAAAGGTTTTCTTGAGACCTTCTAGCTTCCATACACCTTCGAACCTCCTGCTGGTTACCAACATCCCAAGATTCTCCTGAGTCCCAAGCTGCATGTTTCACTTCCAACGGAAAATCCGAGATTTTAAAAATTTTTATCATTTTTTTTTTTTTTTAAAAATAGGCCATACATGGGCAGCCCATTTTTGAAAACCGCCGTCCCCTCCTCCCAAGTTTTCATAATTTAAAGTTGAAACTACCTTCATGAGGCTATAACTTGTGTTATTGTGTCCAAAACTACCTCCTTGAGATTGAAGCTTGATTTTAGTCCTCATTTTTAAAATTTTCTGTAAGCCAACTTTTCCTCCCCAGCTAAACGAGTTATGTACTTGCCCATCTATGCTTCGGCCATTCGCAAAATGAATTAACAGTTTTAGTTAAGATTTTAGGCGATCTGAGCTTTTATTAGGGTTAAAAATAACAATTCTCCTAACTTTCTCATAAGATTTAAAAGTCACTACGCGAAAAATAGTTAAACTAACAAGCTAAAATATTTTTTGAAGATGTCCTTCATTCATTATCAAAATGAAACATTCTTTTATTCATTTATTTATTCGCCTTTTTGAAAATCTTAGCTTTGCTCGAAATCACCAGAAAATAAGAGTAGTTTTCCGTAGGATTTTTTAAAAAACGGTTTGTGCCTTTTTTTGGCATTGACAAGCTAAAATATTTTTTTGAAGATGTCTTTTTTTCTCTTATTTTTTTGAAATACCTAAAACCCGACTTTCGTGCACTCAAATTTCACTGAAAAACTGCTTTCTTTTAAAATATTTTTTTCTATATTTCTACCGAATAAGTTTTTTTTTGGTGAGAGAATAATATGGATTAGTACAAGAATAACAGTTCTTAATGGCTTTTTTTTCTGTATGAAGTTCAAAAAATTACGCTTATTTGATTCTATCACAATCCTCATTGATAGTAAGCTGATCTGGAACAGTTTTGAACTAGAAACCTAGAAAATCTCTCATCTTTCACCTCATTTTGAAGGAAAAACGTTACCAAATCCAAAAATCAATTCAATTTCAATCCTTCTCCCTCTTTTCCAATAAACTCACTCCGAAATGTCCACGTCGGTATGAACCCGGACGTCTTTCGGCTGATAAACGCAGTTCACAGCGAACGCCCTATCGCCAGACGTGACAAAGTTCGGATGGAAGGCCACGACGAAAGTCATGGACATTTTCAGCCCGGCCTTGTTTGGCTGAAATCATACTCCTTTTTTGAGAAATTTCCAAACGGGTTTGAAAAAATTTAATTCTCATAGGCAAAGTCAGAAAGGGTGGAAAAAGGCTCCATAGAAATGTTCCTTTTGGGGTGACAAAGGCTCCTTTTTGCTGCCTTTTTACGCCTTTTCATCGGCTGTTAGGCACTATTTTTCTCCAAACTTTTTTTTCCAACTTGCGCAAAGTCGGAATGGCGGATAATGACCGCTAAAAGGCTCAACAGAGGTCGCAAAAAGGCAGCCAAAAGGCTCAAGAAAGGTTGCAGAAAGGCAGGAAAAAGGATCCCTTTATCGAGCCTCCCATTTTCCTGGGATTTTTAAGGCTTAAGAAAAGGTGGAAAAAGAGGGAGGCAGCAAAATTGGTGCATAACAGCCGATGGAATGGCTCAAAAAGGCAGCAAAACAGGAACATTTATACACTGCCAAAGTCGGAAGTGCGGAAAACGGGTGCAAAAAGGAAGTGACTGCAAAATGGCCGCTAAAAAGGTCCCTTTTTACGGCCTTTATTGAGCCTTTCATTTTTGGTGGGCTAAAAAGAGTCATAAAAGGGCGAAAAAAGGGAGAGGCCGCAAAAAGGGTGAAGAAAGGGTGAGGGTGCAAAAGGGTTCTGAAAGTTTCTGCTATTGATGATTTCCGAATTTATTACTTTAGCATTTTGTGGTTCATACACAGTCACTTGTAAAGATTATTCTTAATTTACAAAAAATTTATTTCTCAAAAGGGTCCAAAAAGGGTGGATGAAGGCCGATGAAAGGACGCAAAAAGGCAGTAAAAAGGGAACCTTTGCCACCCGTTTAGGAACAATTAATGGAAACAGACGGATGCTCAAAGGGCCTGTGAAGGGTTCTTCCGACTTTACCTATGTATGGCGATTTTTTCCCGCTTTTCCACCTTAAGAAACTTACAAATACGGTTAGAAACAGTGCTTCTCCTTACTTTGAACCAGTTTGAAAATCTCGAAATCTCTAAACCCTCGATTCTAACACCTTTAAATTTCAAAAAACACGTTTCAGTCATTTCTAACATATCACATCAAGTACTGACCCGCCTACATACGTTTCAAACCATATACTTTTCTTCATTTCTCTCCTTTTATTCAGTGCTTCTTTCGTTCATTAGGGGATAAATGACTTCCATTGAATTTAATAAAAACATTGATGAAATCTCGCGATGACTTTTTGGGAAAGGAGAGCAAAAATGGTGCATAAGGGCCGAGAAAATGGCGCAAAAAGGCAGCAAAACAGTAACCTTTGGCCACTTAAAAGGAACATTTCTCGAGCCTTTTTCACCCCTTTCTTACTTTGCCTATAAACTACGTGATTTTTGAAGTTTCTAGCGACTCTGTGAACATTCTGGTATTATTACTGGAATTTCCAGTGGAAGCTTCAGAAAAGAATCGTTTCTTGAGATTTATTTGAAAAATTTATTATTTTTTCTCTGGTTGGAATCATGCTAAATAATAGTTGTATCTATTCTCAGACTAAGAATCTCTAAACTTGCCTAAACTGTTCTACTTTTAAATATAACTGCAGGAAAATTAGACTGGCTTAAGTGCCAATTTTTCTTCATCAAATTCAATCCAGTACATTTTTATTTTTGTTCTGCCTGAAAATAAATATCATTAACAAAGTAAATCACCAACTTTTCTCTGCATATCAATCCCACAGGCGGCCAATTTACTCAATGGCAATGAAAAAGATGGATTTATGGTATTTTCGGAAGATTCGAATAAAGTGTAGCATTCCTCAAAACGTCGGTATCCTTTGATATACAGCTGAAAATATTGATTTTACAAGAAAATTCCAGGAAAATCCACCTGCCCTTCGAAAACTTCTTCCGTTTCCGCACTGAATGAGATTTTACTCGATCCGCATTCGACTTTGGGTAGACCTTTAAGAAAAACTTTTTCTTGGGTTATATATATTTTTGATACCAACGAGCCGGTTGTCGATGGTTTTTGCATTGGTGAGGAGAAGGAACTGAAAAATTTTTTTATAAAAGTTATAGAGATTTCTTCTCAAAACTACTGAAAAAAAAACAAAATTATTTCCTATTGAGAATATGAAACAAAAATGCTCTGGGAGTAGAAAATTCACTCTTGAAATAAAGCAGAGAAAATAAACGAGAAAATCATTTTTGAAACATTTACTTTTTTTGAATTTTGTCATCCTTTTCAACGCTTTTTAAGGCATAGGGGCAGTAAAAAACCGGGTTTCAGGTGAAAGCATCTTTCAAAATTAAGAGGCGAGAAGATAAAATCGCGTTTTTCTTCAAAAATAGTCATATCATTGACTTTTTGAATACACCGTTCGATTCGCAATGAACTTTTTTTCCTTTTTAATTTTAATTCCTGTTTTTATTGCCCCTATGCCTTCAAAGACAAAATCTGAATAATTTTGTCTTTCAGGCTTTTTTTTTACTTCATTCATTAGGCTTCTGTTTGAAAAAAAACTTTTTATTTCTCAATATAACAATTTTTCTAATGGTTTAATGAACGAAAAAAAATTCGAAAAAATCAAAAAATTGACTCTTTTTCTCCACTCTCCTTCGAGTTTTCCGGCTCAAACTTTACGAATAACTCTTTCATTTTCTCGAGGTTCTAATTACAGTCGCGATTCAATGTAATAATAACCCAAGGAATGAAGAAAGTGCCTGCGAATGCGGTTTTGGGGTCAATCGAAAAAAAAATTGAGCCGTTTGTCTTTTTTTTCACTTCGGTCAAATGGAACATGAAACTTTGGAATTGAAAGCCGATAGATTATTTGTTCGGAGAAACTTTCTAATTATTATTTTCCTGGAAAACGGAGGCTCGATTCAATTCAACACACAAATTGAACCCGCGGGAACCGACACTTGTGAAGGAGGTTTTGTTGTGCCAAGGCCACGGATGCGCCAAATGTTGTGTGCTATTCTATGTACACGACCAGTGAGAACGAAGATTTCTCGGATCGAAACTGAGACCATAAACAAATCAAAACTTGGTAGTATGAAAATTTTGAACGGCGACTTTTCCGATTTTTTCTTATCGCTAAAAAATTTTTTTTCTTGATAATCTTTAAAGTTTCCTATATAAAATAAGTAGTTGATTCCTGATTAAAAACACAATGAAAAAGGATAAAAAAATGCTGATAGATATTTTATAAACCGAAAAAAAAATATTAGGGAAATAGTCGGAAACTGAAACAATCGAAAAAGTCGCCGTTCAAAAAACGAGGGTTTTTTTCCTTCATACCACCCAAAAATTTTTGAAAAATAGATTTTTTTAAACAAGGTTCATTTACATCTATGCAGCGTCAAATTGAATGAAAAGCCTATCGTTTTATATTTTTATTCAAACCTTCTAGCTCAAAATGTTCTCAGATCCGTGAAAAAAATTCAAGATTGCTTCAAGATTCAAAAGGAAAAATGAAAAAAGAAAGATTCAAGGTTAAAGATTGCTTCAAAATCATTCACGAGGTCACATTTACGCTGCGTAAACGTTCAAGACTACAGGCTCTGTTCTAAAACGAAAAATTACGAGATATTGCTCATTAGGAATCGAGAAAAGGGCTCCGGTCGAAACTTGGCGAAAATTTAGAAAATTCTGATACCAAAAACGTCGGAAAAACTGCGCTTTTTGCTTATTATCAAAATCATTGCTGCTCAATGACGCCAAAAACTGTCAGTTCCTTCCCTGTGGTCAAAAATTACAAGCGTTCGGACTTTATATTTCTTCTAGAAAGCAAAAGTGTACATCTTTCAAAGCTAAATTAAAGCTAGGGCGTTTTTAAAATACTGTTCAGCCAAAATAAAACGACGAGGCGAACCTCCAACATATAAGAAAGTTTAAATTTTAAATTTTAAGGCTTTTTTTCAATTCGAAAAGCAGCGCGAAGAGAATTTAAGACTATTCTTTTTTATTACCATATAAAATAGAAATCGCAAACTGTACCTGTAATACGGCCAATACCCGGTGTAGACTCTGCATTTCTGAAAATATATTTATTCCAAAACATCAACAAATGATGAATAAGTTTACTGTAAATAAATACAGACTCGGAGGAGTTCAGCAACAGCCAGGAAGTAGGCGTGGCCTCTGACTCCCGCCCTCGAATCCTCCTAATTCGGGGGTGCAAGGTGTGACGTCATCTTGGCGGACCCATCAATCCAAAGTTTTGATCGATGCTTCCAAAATGTGTAATTAGAAATCATTAGGTTTTTAAAATATTCATCTTATTCGGAAAAAAAAACACATTTTTGAGAAAAAGAAAAGAAGTAAAAAAAACAAAAATATGATGATCGGATTTTAAACTAGATTAAGAAAAACTTTATTTTTCGTCGCACTCGCGAGATTGAAGATTTCTTTTTTTCATTCCTAAATGTTCAACTGAAACTTTCACTTAAAATGACAATCTCAGAAACCAATTTGTCGGTGTTTTTGATACAAAACGGTGACGATTGCGTAAATGGGGATTTGCAGTAAAAGCGACCTTGCCCAAGTTGCGCAACACCTTTCTGAGCTCTGACTCAAGGTCGCGCCATAACAGTCACCACCCGGGAAAGGTTGCTTGCAGCGATAAAAGCTGGTAATGTTCGAAAAAAATATCTGTTAAATAGATGATAATGTAGGTTGAGTACCTAGAAATGATCCATAATCAATGAATGAAATATTCTTCGACATTGAAACAGTTCTAAAATGTAAAAAAAATCTACAAGTCTACAAGTTTAAACTCATTTCTCACTTATTTGTAAATAAAGCGCCGATAGAAAAAGTTTCAGCAAAAATCACAAATACACACTGAACGATAAAATTGGATACGATGAACAAAATCCGAAAAAAAAAAAATGAAATCCAAACCTTAAATCTTGTATGCAGACGCCATTATAGATAGCACTCCCCAAAAAGTCTCCTCTTAGCGCATTCCGCGTGCGTGCGCGCGCCAATTCAAATTTTGTCTCTTGAACTAGATTTACAGGCTTCCAGTATATGGTTCTTTTTTTGTATAATTTTTTTCTTGCATTAAAAAAATACTTCCAATTAATTTTTACCCGGGTATCATATCTATGATAACTGGATATACGGGCAGAGTACCTGAAATTTTTTTGATTGCTACCGAGTAGCCTGGAAATGCTTCCCAGGTTTTTTTATTATTATTATTTTTTTAGTCACTTCGGTTTTTCTAATTTTTATTCATTCTGTTTTTCAGACTTCTTTTTGAAATTTGTATAAGCTGTACACGTTGTTCTCCATTCGCTCATGAGAAACGAAAAATGAATTTTCAGCAGCACATTTCCTTATCATGCGAGGAGCTTTGAAAAATCGTATCTCCGCTCAAAAACGTTTCCAAAAAAAAACTTTTTTCACGGACCTGCGCGGCATTTTTTGAGAACAGATTTGGAAACAGCATGAAAAACTTCATCTAGTGAACTGTGTCTCATTCTGAAATCCAACTACGACCAGAGACCATTCCCTGGGCAGCTAGAGCTAAAATTTATGCTCGACGTCTCATGATGGACACGTTATGGAATATTCAAGATTCATTTTAAGAGGTATATTTGTGGGCACATTATGGTACCTTCCCCATTTGCCTGTGCAAGTGAGTGAAGGCGAAAACTTGAATTGGCGCTAAAACAAGAAAAAAACTTTCTTAAATAAAGTTAGATTCCCTAAATGAGTCAATATTAAATAAAAGAAAACTGGAAATGAATAAGTAAGAAAAATTATACAAAAAGAACCATATACTGGAAGCCTGTAAATCTAGTCCAAGAGACGAAATTTGAATTGGCGCGCGCACGCACGCGGAATGCGCCAAGAGGAGACTTTTGGGAGTGCTATCTATAATGGCGTCTCTTGTATGCGCCTTGAAGTTTGTCTGAGCGTTTCGAAACCAATTTCGCCCGCAAGTCTATTTTTTTTTGACGAAAAATATTCATTATTTCATTTTTTTCTTCGTACATTTTTTTCGGTGTAGTTTTGTTGGTTCTTTCTAATAAAATTCAGCTTCATCATTTTTTTAAAAAGGTCTAAATCATCTAATTGTGTGGTTATCGTGCGTGTAAAAAGTGGCTATTAAAGTTGGATTTTTCGGGATCAATTTTTTTAAAAATATTGATTTTTTTGTAATAAAAAAATGTCGTTAAATATTGAATTTTTTTCCTCGAACACTTTTTTTATTTTTTTCTATTCAATTTTTTTCTTTAGTTCTGTATACGTATTTCATCATACTGTACACTTATATTGATATATCTTCTTGAGCAAAAGACTCACTCAGACAAAGATTGTTTTTTTTTTCTATTTTTTCGAGACTCGAAATCGTCTTGATTTTTCGAGATGTGAAGGTTAGAGTACTAAATAAGATGAATGAAGTTCAAATGAAAAAAAGTTGTAAGAGCTGCGACTGTTAAAAAATGGCTGAAAAGTACAAGTCAACAGGCTGTAAAAAGACATTTAAATGTCTCCAAATTTCGATCCAGCTTTTTTTTTATTCAATGAGAAGATTTTCATTTTAAAACTGTTTTCTGAAAGCTATAATTTTTGAAAGTTTGGTTTTTTTTTTTCTTTTTCCCTTTGTTTCGCCAAATATCATCAACTGAACAAACTGATAAAAGTTTTCAATCCACCTAAAAAAAACTGCTGCTGTAGTCGTGGCTTTTGTCGATAAAAATTGATGGTTTTATCAGTGAGTTTGTTGGGGTCGAACGCGTCAGTTTAACACGCCACCGCGCTTCGTACGGCTGCTTTATAACTGTTCTCGGCTCTTGGGTGGCTTACACTGATTTACTTATGGCTGTATTTTATGGTACACAATCTCAACATTATCATTGAAATTGACTCTGAATTCTTCAAAACTAACATTCGATCCCGATATCTATTTCTTTTCAGCTCGTCCAACGTGTCCCCAGAGCGTTCAGGCTGTCTGGGATATGTTGAACGAGGTGTAAAGTTTAGATAATTTTTCATGTATACTCTCATTTTCTCGGCTGAATTTGAAAAAACGTGCTATGCGTTGTTCAAATTCTATTAAAAATCTACCACTATCCCTAAACGGCGCTCTACACAGAAACAAAAACCGAGCCTTTAAACTTTCCACCACCTAGTTTTTTCAGTTTCCTAATCACGCCTAGTCGGAACCCTTATTTAAAGCGCAGTTTAGACAAATTTTTATAAGGCGGTTTTTCCCAGATATAGTTTTTAGCTTTTCAAGTCTTCAAAAATCACTGGAGTCAGGAAAAGTAGCGATTGGTGCTGGAGCGGTCGGACTTGTCGAATGCGTCCTGATGCATCTGAATGAGGCGGTGAAATCGTTAGTCTCGCCACTTTCCAATTTGGCTTTATCTCTCTTCAATGCCATCGAGTTCTAGCTTGGCAGAAGTTTGTTTTTGTGGGATTGTGGAGTTCAATTGCATTCCTCATTCCAGAGCTGCGTCTGAGCTCGAGCGACTTCTTACTGTACTGTACAGATTCCAAGAAATATTCTCGTCTTCAAATTGAGGAAAATTTTTCATTTTCCTACCTATTTCTGCGAAAAATGGCGTACTAAGAGAGTAACTGTTAGTGAAGAAAAGGACTTCAATCTTTTGAAAAATGTAAACGAAATTATAAGAAAATTATACTAAAGATCTACGTCAGTAGCACTGCCGCGCAGATAAATGTCCAACATGTTTCTCTCTTTTTATACTATACGTAATTTATTATTATTAATAAATTTCGGAGATTTTTAATGTTCAAGTGTTAAAAAAATAAATCAAATCTTGAAAAAAATTATTTAATAATAATAAATTACGTATAGTATAAAATAGATAAAACCGACATGTTGGACATTTATCTGCGCTGCAATGTTACTGACGTGGATCTTCGCAGCTTCTTTCTTCGCTGTTGTTGCTGGAGGTGCACTTTTTTTTCTTAATTTATGGAGGGCTTTTTTGGATAGTCGGAAATCGATGGATGAATTTTTTGAAAAGATTAAACTTTCTAGAACTCAAAAAGTTAGCATTGGAAATTTTACGCAGAAAAAGAAGCTAATAAAAAATCGGTGAACCATTTCATTGCACTGATTGATATTTCCATAATATGAAAAGAAAGGTGGAGTATAGCTGATTCACGGCTGGATTGAGCCATCGAAAAAAGGGTCCTGACACGATAATGCACGAGATAGCGCCTGTCTCGTGGAGGACACGCCCTCTGAGCGTCCCAAGCTGGCCGTGAATCAGCTATATCTTATGGCGGCAGAGGAAAAAAGAGCCCTTATTATCCAAGTACTTTAAGATTTCAGATACATCGTCGTATATTTTCTGCGTAACTGCCGGGGGAACATGGATAGATTCCACAACTGTTGTTTTTTTTCTTCTGGCATTTGAAATTATTATTTTTAGGCCAAGGGTTCGCCAACCTGCAAAGGATACAACGCCCGTTTCGAATCTAAAACTAAGGTATTATTCGAATAACGGCCATTCAACTGAAAGAATCATTTGAGAAAGAAGCTGAAGACGCGTGTGCCTACAAGGTTCCTTTTGACGTCGTCGGGGTACAAACTGGATGGCCGACCCTCTGCGACTTTGGTAAAACTCCCAAATTGCTGGCTCTCTCTCTCTCATTCTTAACTAGGGCTGGATTATTGAGTGCGCCTGTCAGAAACTACCTCTGTTTTCGGATTTTCCCAGTTCTCTCACTGAAAGCCGTTAGAAAGTTGACATCATAGACAAAAAATTGTAAAGAAGTCTTCCCAAATGCGGGAACCTTCGAACATAGGCAAAGTTGGAAAAATCTGGAAAAAGGCTCCATAAAAAAGTTCCTTTTTTGCTGCTTTTTTGCGCCATTCCCCCTTATACACCATTTATGCTACCTCTCCCTTTTTTTCCATCATTTCTGGAGCCTTTAAAAATCCCAGATTGAAGGCTCGTTAGAGAAGACATCGAGTAAATTTAATTTGCTAAATTTTCCACATTGCAAATGGACATGCTACTGATAATCGATTGAATGATTCTATAAATTCATGTGATTAATATCCTTATTTTGGCCTAACTAGTTGAATGACTCTGCAAACTTATTCTTGACCAATATACTTTCTGAGCAAAAATAGAACAGGAGCTCTAATACAATTTATTAAAAAAAAACCTAACTACAGGTCTTTTTTTTCTTGTTCCAGAATCATTGAAAGGCCTGGAGCAGAATTAATATTCGTAAAATGAATCGAGTTGTTTGAAATTCTAGAAGTGAGAGCGACGTGTCCCGATGGATATATCCAGCTCAACCACGAATGCTTCCGAGCAACTTCCGTCTTGATCTACCAACATCAAGCCCGCGCGGCTTGCAAAAACTTGACTGGAGTGGATGGAACCTTGTTGAAATTGACTTCCAGTCGACTTCAACGGGACATTTATGGTTTGCAAGGGATGGAAAGAAGTAATCCGAAGATTTTCAGCGGCTTTCACCAACCTGCACGGTCTTTGGCTGGACGTGGATGGCAGAAGGAACAAGAATGGAGAGTTGGAATCGAGTTTGGACGTGCTGTACAAATGGAAAAGGCCGCGAAACACGATCAACACCGGTTTGAATTCCAAAAAAAAAGAAGTGTCCCTTTCTGTACTGCAAAAGGCGATCGACAGTGTCGAAGACTTGAAGTTTCATTGTTTTTCAACCTTTTAAACGTTGTTAGGTCTAAAGCAGAACTGCTGACGGGGTGTCTCTTAGTTCGTGAATAGGCTGGTCAGCAGCCCTGGGTTTGAGTAATATAGTCAAAAACTGAACTTCATATCGATTCGGGGTCATCGTCTTCGCGTTCAGGCGGTAGCAACGAAACGCACCAGCTGATGGCCATCACGCAGGCCGGCGTTTGGGAAGTCGGAGCCCACAGGATTCTCTACGACGTGTCCAACTCGGTCAAGGCCATGGCCATCTGCAAGTTCAAACCGACGCCCAGTATGAGAAGTAAAATATTCATTTCTCTGTGCCTAGTCTTTCAAGTTAGGCTCAAAAGATAAGCCGAAAATGAGAGAATTCCGCTATCGCCTGTTCTATTTTGGTAAACAAAAACGTTGCTTCGTGTTTGAATGGCGTTGAACAAGTCTGCGCCGTGTGTTAACTGAATCCCTTACCGTTTCTCCTTTCAAGTTGAAATAATTTTATCGGATCGCTAAGATCGAATAGAAGGAATTCATCAACAAGTTTTCAAACGTTTGCTCCCCTAGATTATTTCTCTGATTGGCTCTTTTTTGAATCTAAAAAATAGGTGTTTCCAGTCAGTTAGAGACATAAGCTGCAGTAATCTCTACTTAAAGTGGTTTCTATATGTTTCTATAAGGCTGTTTTTGGTTTAAAAAAAGATTCAAACTGCCGACTCAGGCTTCGAAGAAACTAGCGACGTCCTTAATTCTATCGGCATCGACAGCAATGTGTACCACAAGATGATGCTCATTTCGTTTCCTAGCATGTTTAGGTTATTCCGTTTTTCTTGTCTTCTTCTGAATTGTACTTCAATTTTTCCAGATACGAAAGGGATCCGCAAAACAATGATCAGATAGTCCCGGAGGAACTTCACGAAAAATGCAAAGTTTATCATTTTAATTTCTCTCTCGGGGTTCATGTTTCAAAAAAATGCAACAAAAACTTGAAAATTATTGCTTTTAGAAACATTCAATTGGTTTAAAAATTTGAAAAAAATGTAATATAAATGACCGAAGCTTTTTATAGCTGACTCACGGCTGGCTTGAGCCATCGAAAAAAGGGCCCTGACACGATACTGCACGAGATAGCGTCTGGCTCGTGGAGAGCGCAGACAGGACACGCCCCCTTAGCGTCCCAAGCTGACCGTGAAGTAGCTATAACTTACAAAATCACTCGAAGAGTCAGAACATATGCGGTCTTCTTTACATTGATCAATGCTTAAAAGACCCGGAAAATGAAGTGGGGGTTATAGCCGATTCACGACTAGCTGGGGAAGTTGAGGAGGCGTGGCCTGTCTGCGCTCTGCACGAGCCAGGCACTATCTCGTCATCGTGTCAGGGCCATTTTTCGATGACTCAAGCCAGCCGTGAATTATTTCTCACACGGAAAGTCATTTTTCCTTGCGACTTGAAACTTTCTGAAGATTTGCTTAAATACTCTTCAACTATCTGGATGAATAGTCCTTACCTGTGCAAACTTCTAGTTTTCGTATTTTATAAATTCGCGTTTATATCAGAATTAGACCACACAAGGAGGTCATCCATTTTTTTTTTTCGCGACTTGGAATTTGTGCTCAAACAAATTCTGAAGGTTTATATGAAGTTCCATTGAATTCGGAACCCGCGCCAGCTTTTAGTTTTTAAGATAGTTAATTTTGAATTTCGAAAAGTTAGGCTTGAAACTTTTATTTTGCAACTTTGAAAAATCACATCTCAAAAACTAGTAGTTTGTGTAAGTATGAAGAATCTTCATCTAGACATTCAGAAAATGTTTTAGCGAGTTTGTAAAAAAAAAATCAACAACTTGCCATGTTAGTATTTTTTGTTACCATCGCTATAAAAATTATGTTTTGTTAGATTTTACATTTTTAAATTTTTTTTTAAGATTTCAAAAGTCATTCAAGAATAAAAGCTTTTTTTTTCAATGCGACGTATGATGTTCTAACAACAAGAAAAGAAGTATTCAGAAACTGTGCGAGTCTTTCGGCATGCCTTGTTACGCGGCCGTTCCGAACGCGAAAAATGCCAAAGATATGTTGGATTTCATGAGAAAGAACGACATCAAGTACGCCCTCACGCCGATCCTCCGCTCCACTGTTCCGAGGTTCTTATTATTTGAAACTTGACCAAAAGGCTCTGAACGTCTAGTAGATCCTTTTTTTCCAAAGCCATATGGAGAATTTACGAGAAAGGCAAATCAATAATAAACTCGGCCAAAGATTTTGAGCGTCTAGATGATTCCAGAAACCTGTGCTAACATTTACTAACTGGAATATTAATTTTGTTGCGTGGCTTAATTCTGGTGTTGAACCCGAACATGAAAAGAAATGTCCCGAAAATTTTCCACTGGGATTTATCTGGGCCATCGAAGAGTCTTGGAGAGATTGGAGTGTTTTTTTCAGAAAAATGCCAGAATACTGATTAGAATATCAAAAGCTCGAAAAATTGTTTCGTGGAATTAGGACATCGGAGAGTCTTAAAGAAAATTTATGGATAGTTCAAGGCCAAAGTGACCTTTCTTGTAGTGATTTCTCAGTTATATGCCAGGATGTTGATAATTTTTGGACTTAGAAGCATTCGGAATAAACTTTCCTTACTTCAGCGCAACTAGAGACTGCAGCCACAATGGCGGCGGGGCTGCTCGGAGCCAGTTTTCCGGCATCGACCCTTTGCAGGCGGTTTGTCTTCATTATTTAGATAGGAGTATGAACGGGAGGGGCCACTAACCAAACCCCTTATAGGGACCACTTTTGCAAGCTTTAGTGGCTCCTATCAGGGGAGGTAAAGTGGTCCCTAGATGGAACTCTTCAAGGGCCCCTATAAGGACCACTCCGAAGTTCCTAACTCAGTTACGCAAACCCAGGCTTGTGCGTCAGGTTAGGTGGCCCGGCCCGGATTTTGGGCCTACAACTTTGAAAAAAAGCCTGCGTGGGCTCGAGCCAGTCCGGGCCTCGAAAGAAATCTTAAATTACATTTTGAAAAAAATTTCACTGATAAATTATTTTTTTGGTGGTATGAAAAAGACCAGCGACAATTAAAACGGCGACTTTTTCCGATTTTTCATATTGCTAGGGAACTTTCCGACGGCCACCTTTCCGACGAATCTTTTTTTCCGACTTTTTTCTCGATAAAAAAATTTTTCGTTTTTAAATTTCCCTATATAAAGTAGGTAGTTGGTTCATGAATAAAACACAAAAAAACAGGGAAAAATTTTTATAATGTTTTATAAACCGAAAAACATGAGGGAAAAAGTCGGAAAGGGATCCGTCGGAAAGTTCCCTAGCGATACGAAAAAATCGGAAAAGTCGCCGTATGAATTTTCGCTGGTGTTTTTTTCATACCACCTTATTTTTTTACATGTTGAATCATAGTTTCTAATAACTCTCTCAGAATGAATAAGCAGAAATACCACTTTTTCTCGTAAAGCGAAAATTCGACTTGAAAAGAAATTGAGTTTTTGTGGGCCAGGCCGGCCATTTGTGCCTCCCTAACGACGGCCCGGGCCGGGCTTGCGAAGTGGCCGGGGGCCGAGAGGTTGACGGACCGGCCCTCGCACAAGCCTGCGCAAACCGGACGCGCCACAGAAGTTTCTGAGCATTTCTAGTGAGCCCTCTAGCGGCAGCACTGACTGATTGAAATACTCAGACATTTCCGGGTTTTGAGCCTTATTCTCATCTTTTTTTCCACTAGCTTGGTTTTGATTTATTTCTGACATTTTAGTTCATGTTCGGAAGCTCTGTTTTCCGTAGCTTGGAAGCTGGGAACTGTTTATCATGAATTAGTTTTTTACGAAATTTTAATCAAAAGTTTGTTTTGCTCCCACAAAAATTTTTTCTTTTCAATTTCCAGTTTTATTTAAATTCATTGTTTCAGGACGACCCTCTTCCGGACAGCTATTGGAAAAAAAGGGGACCCAGAGACGCTTGCTCGGCTACTCCGCGTGTCGGAGTTATTTTTCCATAGAGAGTAGGTTTTTGTTTCATGAACGTAAAAAAATTTATAAAAAGCTTGAGATTTTCGAAACTAGTAGTGAATTTTTCAAATCATTTTTCATTATTTATTTTTTTAGTCTGATGTAATCGACTAGGCGGTGAACAAGAACTTTAAAAGCTATAACGAACAACCGCCTTTGTCGAGCTAGAAGTCCAAACGTGTAGTCGAAAGAGTTGAAAGAAAGGTCTTACGGTCCTTCGTCTCGTCCTTCTGCGCGTAATCCATCCAATTGCGCCTTGACGAGTTCAGAATATAGCTGATGTTGTGCTTGAGCAGGGAGACCGTGCTCCAGATGGAAGCCTCAGAATGAGAGCGACCACTTCGAGTGAAGATAGCCTAAGCCTAAGCCTTTCCACAAAAAGTCTTGAAACGAATGAAGTTTTCTCAATTATATTGCTAAAAAAATCTTCTATTGATTTCATTCCTGTTTAGGAATCCAGTTTCAATCCTAACGGGTTCCAAAAGTTAACGGTAGTTGAAGGATTATATTCCAAATACTACGAAACGATCACATAGCTTATAGCTGTTTGCCCTTATGGTCTGAACTTTAAATTCGGCGTATACGTGATCTATCAGATCGCGTGAGCCGATCTCGCGAGCTTTGCGTAGTGAGACTCATTCCCAGCTGTTCAAAGCTCTTCGGTCGACGCGACTGATCATCAGATCGGTCGGGGTCCTGTCGGAGTCAGACAGGATCCTGGTGAGAACCAGGAGATCTCGTTCACCTGGTTCGAACCGAAAATCGGATCCAACATGGAACCGAGGTCAGAGGCCCTGTGATACACAACCCACAGGGACCGCGCTTAAACCAACGGAGACTGATATCCGTAAATTAAGCGAAAGTGGATCCGTGAAGGAACCAAGGCCCGGGGTCTCACTGACAGTCAGAGTCACTACCCGGACCAGAGCAACAAGAAACTGTTGATCCCAAATAGGACCAATCCTGGAACTCCGAAGTAAATTTCGTCGAGATCCGGGTCCTCGGGAACGAATCAGGCAAGGACAAAGAAGTTTGTCAACCTGAGGAAAAACCAGTTGAGGTTTCCAGTAACAAACTGAAGCCGTTGGTTATGCCTATATCAGACACGAGGCGATTGGCGAACAGGAAGTGCAATCCTGAACTAGCCAGATGCATGTCACCTTGAGAAACCAGGGTTCGACTAGAATCCTATGAAAGAATGCAGATTATTCAATCCATAAATCCGCAAAGGATTCTACGCACTTTGATCATAGTGCCCCAGAAGCTGAAATTTCTGGAAACATGATTCTGTCTGACGGTGTAGTACTTCTCGGAGAAGAGAAGGCGTCAGAGGAGTTTCATTGCGATCCTCGCTGAGTGAGAAGCGGTCATCAGAAACCACATTCCATGAGGAAAGAGGATAACATACAAGGCAGAAGTATCCGCAATGAAGCACAGAGGTATGCTGGAAAGCAGTAAAATATGCTGATGATAAGCCAGGTTCATAACTGGGCTGCCAACTCCAGGAGATACATACGCGCTCGCAACAAAGAGAGCGGTATCTCCAGTTCCTGAACAGAAGGATGATGCCGACTGATTTTAGTCGATTTGGAGATAATCCAAAATGAGGCATAGAGGAGAGTATGGCATAAGCTCTATAACCGAGAGAATCACGACGCGGTTCGTCGTCAAAGACGATAGATTCCTTGAACCTGGCGAACACAGTAGCGGAAAGAGAAGCTACTTTGCCAGTTCCTAGAGCAGGAGGAAGATACGATATCTATCGAATTTCTGAAAGCTCCGTTTGTTTCTAAACGTTCTTCATTAGAAGATAGGAGCGAAATACCTCAGAGAAGTCAATCATTTCAATACGATCCATAAGAAAGGATTTTTTCTCGAACAAGAGAAACGGAGCGTGTTGACAGGAAATCGCACTAAAGCAGAGTCGCGACGCACGAGAAAGCTTCGAGCACTCGACCTCGCCAAGAGGAAAAAATTTTCCTAATGGTAGAAATAAAGCCAACATAGAATAGATTGAATCGAACTATTCCGAGATATTGAAGTTCAGGACGGAGGAAAAGACCTTTTCCCTGAACGTCAGTCGGTACATCACCACTGACAGACCTCAAACGTCTCGATAGGGAACAAGTTAGTTCCAATTGAATAGTCAACGAAATCGCTGTCGATTCCCGTCTTCTATCGATTAAATTGGCAATACAAGGAACTCCTGGCCAGAAGGAGATCCATTATCCTTTTGGGACAGATGAAATGTCCCAAAGCAAAGGACTCCCAAAGTTCAGCATCGTGAACGCCTATTCACGAGGCCGGGCAAACGCAAAGACTAAAAGCTCCCGAGCCATTAGAGGAAGAACGAGTTACCCTCCGTCCTGGTCAACTATTTGATCCGAGCACGAACCCTGATGGTTTCTCGATTATCACGAGTGTTCACAACCTCATGCTGGGAGATCATCGGGAAAAAAAGAACCTGTTTCACCAAACGAGTGAGGGTTCAAACATAGAAGAGTCGAGTTGCTTTCGACCTCCTCCATGAGCTCATGTCGACGAACTGTAAAAGAAATCCGAGCTATAATGGTTCTGGATCACAGAACGGTGGATTTCATAGACAATCATTGAGATCAATGATTAAAGGCCTCGAAAGCCGACCGCCAGTAGAGAAGTGATTCTCGTCCATGGCTAGTCAACAGTTCGACATCTTGCCAGTTTCGCAAGCTCCGAAAGCTAGAAAAATGCGACAGGAGAAAATCCAAGGCGAGATAGCTCAGAAATAGCTGAGAAGACATCAGAAGGACCAGAAACAGCGAATACCTGTTCGAGAAAATTCCAATACAGAAAGCTGGAAAGCCTCGAATATCTGGCGGATGTACACCTTCCCGGCGATGGCATCAGATCGATAGTGATACCTCAGATCACCGTCATTCAAGCCTGATTCGATGCTTGGCATCGGAGAGGTAGACGGAAAACCGATTCGAGAGGCCGCTACACAGCGAAGAAAATTATCACTTCCATATGAAGGATCTAATCCGCAGTCCATTCCAGTTCCTACAAAGCGAATTCACCCGGTTAATGATGAGGCTCAATCTGTCAATGATCGACAATCGCCCTCAGGAACGAGAGGTATTGGACTCTCAGCTCCAGAAAATCTGGAAACCAGGCTATGAGAAAGGAACTGTGGCTCAACTCTGTATGCGAGCAAGCAAGAACCCGAAACTCAAGGAAAGAAAATGAGAGGGAAAAAGAGTTGTACACAGAGCTGTTCCACTCAGCCGACTAAAAATGGAGGCTTCGTGGATCTGAATCAAAGAACAACTAGCAAAGTTGGAACTTGATCCTTCGGCAAGATTCAAAGACGTCAGGTCTGAATAGATCTAGCATGCCAAAGTTACCTCATCACTGACAAGGTGACACAGACGCTCATAGAGACGTCCAGGGATAAAGCCAGGAGATCGATCTCAATCACTCATAGATGGCTAGACCAACCGGTTACTGCATTACAAGAGTAAATGATGGTTTGGTATGTCCCTTTTCTCCGCAAATGTTGAAGTTTAGTCAACGGAAGGAGACAGCCTCAGCCTCATCTACATGAGCCAGGAAAGCTTGAGCTCACAAGTATAGCTGACGTATCAGCGATCTGGTCAAGAAGAGGTTAGCAGAGAACAATCAGAGTTCCGAGAGTGCACAGGCCAGAATACTGACAGACAGTATGAAGATGCCTTGAGAAACAAGTTTGCCTACCTAAAATAATGAGGATCTACTCATTAGGTAGAAAGAGTCAAAATGCGCAAACTTACGCTCGGATCTGATTCGGATCACCAGCTCTCCACGATGAATAAGTAATGATCATCGCGACGTGGCATAATACATGCGTAGAGAGCGGGTCGTAGTCCACTCTGGCAGAGAGACAGTGTTAAAAGTTCCAAAGATCTTTCGAAACCCAACAATTTGCATCAAATTGTATATTCCCCGGAATCCGAACCATTGTGTGGTTCATGGGTTGAATGAGGTATCGAAATCAGCAGCTTCCAGGAAAGGAGCGATGATGCTGTATACGCTAGAAAGGCGTGAAGGATCGTGGGAGCCATTCCAAGGAAGCTAGACCACCTCATGACCAAAGAAGAGGGTTGAGCCGCTGCCAGCTTCAGAAATGGAAGTTAGGTAAAAGTTGGAGGTATACAACTGAAGGCAATCTCCGAACGAAAAGGTTCAAAGAAGAGAAAAAGCTTTACCTAAAATCACTGGTCTCGAAAACGTACAATTTCTGCTTAACCAGGAGCAGTTCTCATGGAGAAGGAACATTTCCGCAGTACATACCCAACGAGTCCAAAGACAGGACTCATCAACAAATACACATGTACGTTGCTCGAGGCAGAGGGTATAAGCGGATAAGCCAGTAAAAGGCTTTATACACGTCGATAGCTAGTACTGACGGATGATCTCCGAACCATGGAGATGAGAATCGCGACAAGGAAGGGTTTTTCTAAACAAGATCTTCAATGGTGGATAAATCCTCGGTCCGATCGATGCTCGCGAGCACATCTGTCGAAGCTTTAAGAGCCACAGCCTCAATGTTGCTTTTAAACTAGCTATGTGATCGTTTCGTAGTATTTGGAATATAATGTTATATTTTTGCTAGACAACGTAGTTGTTGAAGTAAAATATTTATTATATCCTAATACGTAGAAACGATCAGATATCCCACCCAGTGACCTTCGAAAGATACAGCTTAAAAAGGTTCACTTGATCCCGCCCGGACATTGAGGCTTAGAAGTGGGTCAGCTCGAGCGATCCTCAGCCATACATCGGCTTGGAGCAGGCATTAAATTGCCATTGAAATCGTTCGAAATGGGTTCCAAGAGTTTGAACGCCAGGAACAAAGGCTCAAGGTTCAAGGAAAAGGGATACAGTACCGGTCACACCACGAGAGAAAAAGTGGGCAGGCGCACTTTCATAAATTCTCATAACTGAGAAAAGTTTGAAAACATCTCCTTTGCGCTAGACAGGCAAACCGCAATGGTTTACCAAGGTGACGGGAACCCGGCTAGTTCATTAAGTATATCTGGTAAAGAGTACGCGTAAGGAACGAAGAGCTTTGAACAGCTGGGAATGAGTCTCACTACGCAAAGCTCGTGAGATCGGCTCACGCGATCTGATAGATCACGTATACGCCGAATTTAAAGTTCAGACCATAAGGGCAAACAGCTATAAGCTATGTGATCGTTTCTACGTATTAGATATAATAAATATTTTACTTCAACAACTACGTTGTCTAGCAAAAATATAACATTATCCCGTGACACGAATACTAAATCGAGAAAATGTTCAGACAGGAGCAATTCTTCGAATCGATTCCGGTCGTCCAAGCCCGATTGATCTGTGCTACTGGTGAGTTTCGATCAGCTAACACCTTTACAGTACTTCTTGTTCAGCTTCGGAGGATTCCGCAATAAGCGCGTGTAGCAAACGCGCAATTTTCTACGACGGAAAGTGCAAATGCAAGCCTGGCTACACGGACGCCAACGAGAAGTCTCACGGACCTCGTGTAAAATCAGATTCGACTATTTTCTAAGCCCGGCCCGGCCTTGATGACTCTAGCGGCTCTGTATTAGCTTAGATGCTGATAGAACTTAGGAATTCCAGAGTAGTCCCTATAGGGGTTACGGGGAATAACAGCCCATATAGAAACGAAAAAGTGGTCCCTAAAGTGGGTTTGACCCCTTAGACCCAAAAGCTTAAGTTTCTATAGAGGTTTTTCAATTTCATTCAAAAAACCCTTGTTTATTCGGTTTTTCGCATGGAAATCTTACGCCGACTGCATCCTACCCCGGGGTCCGGCCTATTTCAGTACATTTAAAATCTTTTTTTTTTCGTGCGGGGGCGGGGTGTAGCCGATGTATGATGGAATCGCTGCAGTTTGAGTGTTTTTTGAGTTTGGGATGCTTTTTGTGCGTTTCTTTGTGAGCCTCGTTTCTAATAATGCTTTATTAGTTAATTAGCAAAATATGGTAAATGGCAAAGAGAAAAAGTGGGGTCTTCAATTCTCTAAATTAGAAAATATGGTTCAACTGGTAGAAATTAAAAATTCTTTGATCAATCTATTAATTATTATTCATTGGTTAATACAGTCAGATGGAATCGGCTAGGCCGTGTAAAAATTGCTCTTTGGAGTGGTACCAACACCGCCTTTGGCGAAAAAGTGGTCAAAACGTGTATTCGATTGAATTGAAAGCATGGTCTTACGGTACTTCGCCTCGTTCTCCCACAAGTAGATCCCTCAGTTTCGCGGGTACGGGCACGGCGGTGATGGTGGGGCTCGGGCACGGACGCCGTGTACACTCTAGGGTAGCCTCGGCCGATTGAGAGAGCTACCACTTCGAGTGAAGAAAATACACGGAATGGCCAGTCTTCGAATTGAAAGACTTCATCCGAAGACTGGCCTGGCCCAAGCCCGCGCAGGCTTCTTCGCAAAGAATAAAGTTAAAAAGCCCGGGTCGACCCGATCCAGGCCGTCCACCTTGACGCACAAGTCTGCTTTTCAGGAAAAAGAAATCAAAGAGAAGTATTGAGTTTTTGTAGAATTTAAAGGTTCACGGTTTTTTGTCGTATTTATATCGCAGTCTGTGAAAAAAATTGGGTTTTTTATCTTTTTTTAAAAGCATCCGCGAAAAGCAGATTTGAGCTTTTTGGCGATTTCACTCAAGAAAAAGTAGAATAGAAAAGAGAAAAAAATGTTGGCTTCTTCATTTTCATTCTTCCCTTTTTTGCAGGGTATCAAGTGTTTGTCCTGCGAAATGAAGAAGTTGAAATTGATTGTTGGTGTCGTTTTCGATACTTCCGGATCAATCGCCAAACGTGATTATGACGATCAAGTATTTTCTTTTCTGTCACTTTTCAATGATCCCTTCTCAGCAATCAAAATTTTTTTTTACCGTCTCCTTTCAAAAAGTATGGAAAAAAGTTTTCTGATCATCAAATATAGGGGCATGTTGGATGGAAAAGTCGGTACTGTTTTTTTTAAATATATGTTCCCATGCCCAAAAAACGTCAAAAACACATTTTGAAAACTTGAAAGAATAGGCATCATAAAAAAGTGACCTTTCCAGCATGCCGGATTTTTATTAGTAACAACCATTTCCGGTCTTGCAGGCTGTGAATTAGACCATGAAAGATGAAATTTGATAATCAAAGTATTCAGATCATACCACTCGTGCAATCATTGTACAGAGCAACATTTGGCAATTATATTATCCTGACACAATTTTCCAACCATGTCACATCTGAAGACTTCTCCAAAAGGTCGGACGTTAATGCGGCCGTACAGGAAATTCGCACGAAATTTTTCTATACTAAGGGAACAACCAATACCGCTGGAGCTATAGAAGAAACGCACAAGAGTATGATGGTTTGTTTCCATTCTTACATTGTAATCTGCTTCTCTTTGTAAACGAAAAAGCGTGGATCTTACAAACATTTTTATGAAAATAGAGTCGGAAAAGGCTCGTCAGAAATTTTCCTTTTAGGGTAACTGAGCTTTCTTTTTTGCTGCCTTTTTGGGCAATTCATCGGCTGTTATGCACCATTTTTGCTGCCTCTCTCTCTTTTTCCACCATTTCTTGAATATCTAGGAAAAATGAAAGGCTCAAAAAGGGGACTCTTTTTGCTGCCTTTCTGCAGCCTTTCCCCCCTTTCATCGGTCATTATACACCATTCGGACTTTGTTCAATAATTGTGTATATCTGCCGCGAATTTCAAAGTCACCTCTGACTCGATCTCCATTTAGTTATCTTTTTCACTCTTTGGCGGCTTTTTTCAGAATGTCGAAATAATTTTGAAAGCGCAATCAGAAACAGATGGTGTTTCTTTTTCAAAACCTTGTATAGTCGATGTGCCACGAGTTGAAATTTCATGGACACTCCGCTCGGTGTCTTTGTGGCCGTGAAGAATATATGCCTTAGCGGATCTCGGTCACGCTTTCCCATTTTATAATTTGCAGTTTTCGAGTGTAGGACAAAAGCGCCGATTCCAAGAGCGCCGTTCAAATTGAGCGGCAGTCCGCAATGCGCCGTCGCGTGTATGCGACTTGTATGCAGACGCCGCTTTCTTTTGCGCCGAGTCCGTTTGCGCCAGATCATTTTGCGCCGTCATTTTTAACTTTTATTTTTTCGCTCTTTTTCTATCATTGTTTAGTAATTGTGTAGTACACATTCAATCTCAACTCGAATATTTTTCGCGCCATCTGTTAATGTGGAATTTTATGCCACATTTTCGAAAAAAAATCGAACTATTGTTTCAAGAAAATGAGTTTTACGTTACGAAAAACGAATTTCTGCTGTTTCACGTCTGCTAGATTCGAAACTGTGCCTTTCCTTACGCAGAAAAGTTGCGACCACACCACTCATCAGGTCGTTTCAGGCAATAATTTTTTTATCCATTCTCTAATCCTTTCGTTTTTTATATTTTTCGAAATCAGGGGATTATATTTGCTTTTTTTATTTGTACTTTGAAAAGAAAAAAGGGGAAAAAATATTTTACCTGGGCCAAAGTGTTCCGAAAACTCATCATTAACTGATGGCGCGAAAATTTCTCGAGTCGTATATGAATGTGTAGTAAACAATTATTGAAAAATAATAGAAAAAGAGCGAAAAAATAAAAGTTTAAAATAACGACGCAAAACGATTTGGCGCAAACGGACTCGGCGCAAAAGAAAGCGGCGTCTGCATACACGGCGCATACACGTGATGGCGCATTGCGCACTGGCGCTCAATTTGAACGGCGCTCTTGGAATCGGCGCTTTTGTCCTACACTCCAGTTTTCAAATACATTTTCTTCGATAATTTTTTAGTTTTATGAACTTTTTGGCAGTGCAATGGATGAATAAAGTTTTTCGGAATGCCAATAATTCAACCAGGGGATAAATAAGCAGTGAAAAACCTTATATTTACCGAAAACGATCTCTCTATTTCATAGTGCGCACACGTCTTCGTTTTATAAGCCACTCACTTTCTGAAAAAATCCATTAACCATTGCAACAAACAGGAAAATTCTTTCGTTTACTTTTGTACTACGCAATCCTTTTTTAACAATATTAATACGTTTTAAAGAAATAAAACAATTAAAAACTATCAAAATTAGAATTAAAACCAAAAAAATTAGCGTGGCCGAGGTTGGCAATTTCGCACAATGCGCGCTACCGCACAAATCGAAACAGCGGAGTGTCGTTCCATGAAATTTCAACTTGTGGCACATCGACTATACAGTACCGCTCAAAAGTCTATTAAGTTTTGGTTTTTTGAGGATATCTCAGCGAGTACTCATCCGATTTATATATAACTTTCAGGGATTATGTAAAATATACTTTGAAACATATACGGTATACAAATACATGTTCGCAGTCACTGCGACGCGTTTTTAGGAATTTTTTTCGAATTCAATTTTTTTGTTTTTTTATGCTTTTTATTTTTTTATTTATTTCTATTAAATTTTTTTAAAAAGTAATAATGTTGCCATATATTTTTTCATGTTTTTCAGACATAGGAAGAACCTCTGAAAAAAAGGATTTGACTGATAACGACAAAAGAGCCATCGTTGTGGGTCGTCAAAATGGACTGACCATGATGTCGTTGGCAGGAATGTTCGGCAGGGACAGAGGCGTGCATTTCTCAGTTCCTAAAGCGTCAGAAAGCTCAAGATGGCTCTACTAAGAGCCAACGCACTGGAAGATCACGTGTCACTGATGGTAATGACGATAGAAACATTTTTGAAGACGTCTAGAACCGATCCAAGACTCAGCGTCCCTGCGATCAGACGGGAAGTTTGCTTGAATTCGCCATCTCCGCCATCCGTCTCGACCGTGAAACAACGTCTGAATGCTGCTGGAATCATGGGAAGACGTCCAGTGAACAAACCGCTGATTTCTGAAAAGAATCGAGTCGCCAGGGTGAAGTGGGCGAAGGAGCATCTCAACTGGACCCGTCAAGACTGGAACAAGATTCTGTCGTCCGACGAAACGGTCCTCCACCATGTTTCACAAAGGGTAATTGGTATTTCGGATGATATCTGGACCCAATTGGTCTACGAACTCATTGAATTCCGTCACTTCCGAAGAGGAGGAACTTGATTTCGTCGGACGACAGAATCTTGTTCCAGTCTTGACGGGTCCAGTTGAGATGCTCCTTCGCCCACTTCACCCTGGCGACTCGATTCTTTTTCAGAAATCAGCGGTTTCTTCACTGGACGTCTTCCCATGATTCCAGCAGCATTCAGACGTCGTTTCACGGTCGAGACGGATGGCGGAGATGGCGAATTCAAGAAAACTTCCCGTCTGATCGCAGGGGCGGTGAGTCTTGGATTGGTTCTAGACGTCTTCAAAATGTTCCTATCGTCATTACGATCAGTGACACGTGGTCTTCCAGTGCGTTGGCTGTTAGTAGAGCCATCTTGAGCTTTCTGACGCTTTAGGAACTGAGAAATGCCCGCCTCTGTCACGCCGAACATTCCTGCCAACGTCATCATGGTCAGTCCATTTTGACGACCCACAACGATGGCTCTTTTGTCGTTATCAGTCAAATTCTTTTTTCCAAAGGTTCTTCCCATGTCTGAAAACATGAAAAAAATCATATGGCAACATTATTAATTTTTAAAAAAATTTAATAAAAAAATAAATAAAAAAATAAAAAGCATAAAAAAACAAAAAAATGGAATTCAATAAAAAAATGCCTAAAACGCGTCACAGTCATTGCGGACATGTCTTTGTATACCGTATATGTTTCAAAGTATATTTTTACATAATCCCTGAAAGTTATATATAAATCGGATAAGTACTCGCTGAGATATCCCCAAAAAAACCAAAAACTTAATAGACTTTTGAGCGGTACTGTAGGTGCTCGCAAAGCCAAACCTGCTTGTTGGATACAAGTTTACGGAATTTATTTTCAGAAATTGCTAAAGAACAGGCCGAAATCTCCGATGCACATGATCCTCATCACAGATGGAGTTCCGGACGATGTTGGTGAAAAGTATCCGAAAAACGCATAGTCTTGAGAAACATAAAGTATAGTTGATTCACTATCTTGTCACGATTTCGTTTTCCTCTGAGTTACAGAACCCTTTCCTTCGATGCGCGCCATTCTTCTGCATGCACCTTTAACATAACGCAAATTCTAGGCGGAATGCAGAGGAACAGGCCGCGCGCTTTGAACGGAACGATTCGGTAGCTAGGAGGAGTACAAAAATCGTGACAAGTTAAGTTGGCAAAGAATATATATGAAGAAGCAGCCTAGCGAAATAGGCTCCGAAAAAGTCTTTCACACATTATTTACAGCGTGTTCCGCGCTAGACGGTCAACCAGTAGAAGAAAAGCTATCATACTTTTGAAATTTTCCTTCACAAAATCGCAAAAAACAAAGGTCTTAAAAATGAAAAAAAAAAGTTGTAATAGTTCGCGGCTTCTCAGCCGGATCCCGTTTTGTCTTATGTACATAAGAGAAAATTTTGATTTCGAAAACATGTTATATTCTGATAATTACTGGCCGAGGCGGTTCAGTATAAGGCTTTCTCATGAAACTAATTGTTATGTCTGTCAATTCTAGTAGGTCAACAGTAACAAAGGTGAGCTATAGTTTGTGTGCCAAGACTTGGAATTTCACCGAACGACATTCCGCTGTTCCGCTGCATCGCGAAGCGTCTTTGCGAGCCTCGGTCTCGCTTTGAATTGGTTCTCATTTCTGATAGATAAACTGTTCCACTGGCAACACATGTTGGTCGAGCTCTTAAATAAAATGAAAAATTAAAGGCGCGGCCGAGCACGCAGCGGAACAGCGGAATGTCGTTTGGTGAAATTCCAAGTCTTGGTAGATAGACTATAACAGGTAGAAATATATTCTGGTTGTAGACACACGTATAACAATAGTTTACCTTCTGATATATCTGTAAAAAGTATAAAGTTTCGCTAATCGAAAATAGTCTGTTAATGTCAAGTCATCGCTCAAACTCCGCCCCTTTAGCGCATTTAGAACCAATCAGAGAGCGAGCCATCCACAGAGCGTTGTTGGGGGCGGAGTTTGCTGCTTGACATTCAAAATCTGAACATACTTTTTGTCGATTCTCGAAAAAAGAACGCAAATCCCATTTGCGCGTGGTTGAGTATTATATATGTTAGCCTGCTTTTTCGACTCATCTTGGCTTAAATCAGGGTTTTTTTTTTCAGGTTCCCTTGGCTTCGCGCGTCGCTGCAGAAGTGGGTATTTCAGTTTTTTTTTCCTAATTGTGAAATTATCCTTAACGGCATCCTGTCAATCGCCGTTTCAAATGAAAGATTTTTCTAAACTGGAATTTCAAATTTCTCCTAGATCACTTTTTTGGCATGCTATAAGTACGGGCGTTTACAAAATGCGACCGATGCGATCGCTTTTTTTTTGTGCTCCACTGCAAATTAATAAAATACGGGCGTTTCTTAATCGTATCCTTTTTACCTTTTTCTGGCACTTTTTCACAGATTTTGTAGTTTTTACCTATCTTTCCTTTTGAAAAAAACCTATTCAAAAAAGTGCTACGACGAAGTTTATGAACTTATTATGATAAGTTTTTCTTCAATTACTTGAACAACTTAGGCTTCTCATCAGCCTTTGAAAACGATTTTATACAGTTCATGAATCTGTAATAAACCGGAAACAACATGGAAGAAATTGGCTACGTGGCAAAATAAATCTTGAGAAATGGTTTGATAAAAGGTACTATCAAAAATAAAAAAAGAAAGAAACTACTAAACAGATCAGAAAGCTTTCGAAAAAAATTTAGAATTTCGTTTAATTTTTAAAAAAATAATGAAAATTCAAAAAAACGCCCGTGTTTTATTAACTTGCAGTGGAGCACAAGTAAAGCGGTCGCATTTTTGTAAACGCCTGTACTTTATAGCATGCCCACCTTTTTTTTTTGAGTTTGAATGAGCATGTGAAGAATAACTTTGATGCATAAAAAATTCACTTTTTCTCAAATTTTGCATGGGGTTTGTCGATTCAAAAACAAGGGGCGACTTTCAGGCTCGTGAAGACGGTATTAAAATGCAAACGGTTCTCATTCAAAGCGACAGCGAGTTGGATGCCAGGCTAGTCAATTGCGGAGACGGCAACGCATCGAATGAGGAGTGCGGGATCAGAGCCGTCTCATTTCCGGTGAATATCCCGAGAGCGATGGAGAATTTGCGTGAATGAGTTCAGGAAGTGAACGAAGACCTTTCCAAGGACCTCCTCGTAAACGTTTGCGACGAGGACGACAGTGCCGGCTCCTGAAGCGGCTAGTCTTGGACTTCTCTTGTCACTTTCCTCTCGACTTTATTTTTTGACTTCCAAAAGCTCATAAAGCTTGATTTGAGAAAGTTGCGTGGTTTTTTTTTTGTTTTTTTCCGAATTTATTGCACAGCGTTCCAAAGCGGGGTGCAGCGCGCAATTTCTTGCAAAAATGGGCGTGGCCTGATCGCGTAAATCCACCCAGGGCATCGGCTCTCGGGATTTTACGGTTAAAAATGGAAAGAGATTATTCAATTCATTTTTTTCAAAATGCTTTCTTTGATTTACACCTTTTCCTGCTTAAGAGAAAAACGAATACTGTAATTTTTTTAAAATAATACCATTATCGGAATTTCTCCGTAAAAAGTTCTCTGATATACATAGGCAAAGTCGGAAGGACCCTCCGAGGGTCCATGAAGGACCATAGAAATGTTCCTTTTAGGGTGATGAAGGCTCTCTTTTTGCTGCCTTTTTGCTCCATTTTCTCAGCCCTTATGCACCATTTTTGCTGCCTCTCCCTTTCTCCACCATTTCTCGAGCCTTTAAAATCCCAGAAAAATGGAAGGCTCGTTAAAGGGAGTCTCTTTGCTGCCTTTCGCTGCCTTTTTGCTGCCTTTCTGCGGCCTTTTTTGAGCCTCTCCCTTTTAGCAGCCATTATCCACCATTCCGACTTCGCCCGAGTATGAATTCGAAACTATTACCAAATAGTTCATGAAACAACACCAAATACCAAACATCACCAAAATCAGTTCATGAAACAAACGATTTTGTTCTCATTTTCAATAGACACAAAAGGTGATGGAAACTAAACAAAGAGCCGCAAAGATTCGCTGTTATATATAGCCAATTATGCGAACCGAGAAGCAAGAAAAATAAAATTACCCATCGGTTCAAGTTTTCTTTCTTTCTTAACTTGTTCACACCAAAGATTTTTTGAATTTACATAGGCGAATCGAAAAAGGGTATCGCGAGACCCTCAGAGGTATATTCACAGTGTTCCCAAACGAGCGGCAGCTGTGGTCAGTAGGCGTGGCTGACTGCAACAGCGGCACGGTTTATTGCAATAGGTGCGCGGGGATGAGAGTCAAGTTTTGTGGATTTAGTGGTTGGAAAAAGACCATTAAATGATGTTTTTCCTAGGTTCTCGCAAGTTTTCAAAGACTTTTAATGTGTATATAATTATAACGAACAAATTTAAATGAAGAAAGAGACGAAAAAGTTTTTGCAAAACAAAATATCTCCCAAAATGTCGTTTTTTTAGGAAAACTCGTCAAATCGAACTTCCAAAGGGAAAAATTGAGAAAAAAAGCTCGAAAAAAAGCGCACTTCTCTTAAGAAATACCATTTGAACGTTTTAAAACAAAAACAGATACATAATAGCTTGTACGAATAAAGTTGTCACCCAAAATGACATTTTCAAGAATAAATTCGTCGAAGACTGCCTCGGAAAAAAAATTTTGAGAAAAATCTCACAGCGTTTCTCTTAAGAAAGTCCATTTGAAAGTTCTAAAACAAAAAAACAAACGAAATATCTTATGTGAAATAAGTTGTCATCAAAAATGTCATTTCAATGCAAATTTCTGTGACGAGAACAATCGAAAATCACTTCAAATCTCTGGCAAACGCGATAAACACGTTTTAAGAACACATACAACGTAAAAAAATACGAAAGAATGGTAAAATACGCAAGAAAAAGAAAAAAAACCGTATTAAAAGTGAATGAAATTTTGTGGGGGTGACACGCGCCGCACCGCGTTGCGTTAGAAAAAACTCGCGTTTTCGCCCCATTGCGACGACCTTTTTTTTGGCTTGCCGCCGTCTCTTTTGGAACACTGTGTATTGCAGGCTCTGAAGTCTCACGATGGTACTTCGAGTATACCGGCTTTTGAGCCAAATGAGATGGACTTGAGAGAGACTCTAAAGTACCTCCGAGATGGATCAGATATAGCTAAAAGGTATGCCGGAGGTCTCACGATGGACACGTTATGGAGCCTTCACAAACCATTTTGAGAGGTATCTTTGTGGACACATTATGGTACCTTCTCGATTCGCCTGTGCCTAGGTTTTCAGTGTTTGAAAAACTTCCTTTTAAGTTGAATAACTTTTTTTGAAATGAAAACTGATGCTCCTCATAGATCCGCTACGAATCATCCCTATATTTAAATAATACTCATTCAACAAATTCAATTTTTCCAGTTTCCAAAAGAGGCGGAGGTTTTAAATATTTTCTTCTGGTTGAAAAAAACAATGCTTCGGTTGAAGTGATCAGAAGTTGAGAGTAGGAGCGGTTCGGTCCGGATTTAAAATGGCCAAATCAATACAGGGTGGCCAATAAATATTGAAACGCGTTTGAAACGTTATAACTTTCTCAAAAGTCAACCAAACACCACCAAACTTGGAACAAATTTTATTCATACAATATAGAAACAAAATTCAAGAATAGTTTTCAAAACGTCTTCCTTTAGCTTTGATAGCGGCCTTCAGTCTCTTCGGATACGCATCGATCACGGCACGAAGGTAGTCGTCGTCGATTTCGTCCCATTTCTTGATGAGCGCAGTCTTCAGAGCTTTGATACTTGGGTAATTCTTAGAAGAGACCTTCTCGGTCAGATATATCCACACGGCATAGTCCATCGGGTTGAGGTCGGGCGAGGAAGCAGGCCAATCAGCAGCCGAGATGAACTCGGGAAAATTGGCGCGATACCACTCTTGAGTCCCTTTGGCACGATGAGCGGGGGCGCCGTTTTGCTGGAAGGTCCATGGTCGGTTTCCGTAGTGAGAATTGGCCCAGGGCAACACCCCCAACTTCAAAATCTACTCCATGTAGTATACTTTGGTTCACTTTGCCTCCAGGATCCACAAAAATCAGCGGAGTTTTGCCGTCAGCGGTAATTCCGGAAAAAACCATCACGGAAGCCGGATGCGAAGTTTTATTCAGAATTTTTTCTTTTTCACAGGCACTCTGATAGTCAGTAGCGATGATCGGATGGTTTTGGCCGTTGTTGTTCGCCTCCACAGTGAAGATTTTCTCGTCGATAAATAGCGTCGTCAGATGCGAGCATCTTTCGTGCCAGCGAGCAGCTTTCGAGCCTTTTTCTTCCGGAATGTCTTGTTTTTTCGATTGAGGAAGGCTCCTTTTTGCATACGGTAGGGAATCATCTTCAGCTTGTCCTTGACAATAGTTTTCATCGACCCTCGACTCATTTCGTATTCTTTTGACATCTTTCTCATGCTTCTTTCCGGAGTGCGTCTGATTTTCTCTCGAACGGCTTTGACTGCTTCTGGAGTCGTGACGGTGACTGGACGTCCTCTTCTTTGCATGTCATCTGAAGTACCGAGACGCCGATAGCGTTGTGCAGTTCGAAAAACGAGAACACGAGACACTTTCAGCTTTTTAACGATCTCTGAATTTGTCATTCCGCTTTTGACACAATCAATGATTGCGGTACGGTACGGAGATGGGGCCACCATTACCTGAATACTGAAAAGTATGAGCTGTAACTTCAAACACATGATGAGTGAGCATGAATGAATGAAATAAACAGATAAATTCAAAGGCCAGTCCTTTGTGCAAAAAGCAGCGATCAAACAAAAAACGGTTTCAATATTTATTGGCCACCCTGTAACTTGCTCGTGGAAAAAAAGAAACCCTTCGTCGAATCAAACTCCCAAAAATTTATTTATTTTTTCCAATTTTTGGTTGCATCAACCGTAATTTGGTGATTTGATTCGTTGCGGAAACAGCCTATCAAACGCTTCTAAAATCATTAATTTCTTTTTGGTCGGGAAATTAAAATTCATTATAAATATTTTTTTGATAGCGCCACATGAGCTCTGTAATGGTAAAAATTATTTTGAAAATTGAAGAAATCCTTTTAAAATAAATCTCCATGTTAAGCGAGACATTTTTTTTACATTTGTGAAGATTTCGCCTCAAAATTTCCTTACCAGGGAATGGTCTCCGAAAGCATTGAGGCTTCCGAATGAGACAAGGTTTTCTAGATGTAGTTTTTCACACTGTCTCTTAATCTAGTCTCACAAAAGTCCGTAGTCTGTGAAGAAATCGAGGCCCTCAAAAGTCGAGCTCATTTTGGTGAACCTTTGAGAGCCCTAACTTTTTTTTTTCACAGACTTTTCGATATTATTAGTCATTAGAATATGTTCATCGTTGGAAACTGAATCCAGAAAACCTTTTATAGCTGATTCACGACTAGATTGAGCCATCGAAAAGGGGTCTTGACACGATAATAAAAGAGATACCGCCTGGTTGGTAGAGAGCGGACACAGACCAAGCCTTTTTAAGGCATTCCGAATTCACACTGAGTCCGAAAACCAATTCAGTGGGGCCCTAGTCAGACTGCAAAGAACGTGGACATTGCTGCTCGAAGCAGATTGTAAATAAAAGTATCAGAAAAAAACGTTCAAATCCTGTAACTTTATTGCAAACGTAAATTAATCACGTATAGTATAAAAGGAAGAAAATGAACAAGGTGGACATTTATCTGCGAAGAACTCCCGCAGCAATGTTGCTGACGTGGATCTTCGCAGCTTCTTTCTTTGCTGTTGTTGCTGGAGGTGCACTTTTTGGTCTTTTGGATAACTCAAACGGAGGCAAAAAATATAAGAAGTTTATATGATTCAGATACATCGGCCTACATTTTCTGCCTAACTGCCGGAGGATCATGGGAGGCGCCGGTGAGTAATTTTTCGCATTTTTCGTTTGAAGCTTTCGTTTTTTTAGGCCAAGGGTCCGCCAATCTGCAGGGGATACAACGCCCGTTTCGAATCTAAAACTAAGGTATTATTAGAATAACGGCCATTCAACTGGGAGAATCATTTGAGAAAGAAGCTGAAGACGCGTGTGCCTACAAGGTTCCTTTTGACGTCGTCGGGGTCAAAACTGGATGGCCGACCCTCTGCGACTTCGGTAAAACTTCCAGATTACTGGCCTTTTCTTATAATGGAGTTCGTAGGACTGTTGAAAAATGGCGTTGAAATCTTATTTTTTTCCTTCATAAATGTAATTTAGAACTCTCACTGCTATAGTCTGTTCAGATTTTGAATGTCAAGTAGAATGACGAAAACGCTTAGTGGATGGCTCGCTCTATGATTGGTTTATCGCGCCATAAGGGGGCGGAGCTTCAGCGAGGATTTGACATTTGAAATCTGAACAGACTATAGATGGGGAAAGAGACCACAGACTTGTATTATTTCTCTACTTGCTTCAAATAAATGAGAAACACTTCAAATTTATAAATTAATAATTTGACCCTGGGAAAAATAACAGATATCCAGTGTAGAGTTCAGATACGCTACTAACTCCACCCTTGAACAGGCTAAAATTTCTGTTTTCAAACACTTTGTTATTTTCAATATTCTCTCCCAAAAGTCATCTTTTTCTCGGCGTTGAACTTACAAAACGAAAGAAAAGTCACTGACTATTTTACGCCTATGGAAAAGCTCGAAAAAAAAAATCTTTTGGAAATCTTTTCGAAGGACTGGTCTTCAGAAGTGAGAGCGACGTGCCCCGATGGATATATCCAGTTGCATCGCGAATGCTTCCGAGCAACTTCCGTCTTGATTTATCAACATCAAGCCCGCGCGGCTTGCAGGAACTTGACTGGAGTGGATGGGACCTTGTTGAAATTGACTTCCAGCAAACTCCAATGGGAAATTTATGGTTTGCAAGGGATGGAAAGAAGTAATCCGAAGATTTTCAGCGGCTTTCACCAACCTGCACGGTCTTTGGTTGGACGTGGATGGCAGAAGGAACAAGAATGGAGAGTTGGAATCGAGTTTGGACGTGCTGTACAAATGGAAAAGGCCGCGAAACACGATCAGCACCGGTTTGAATTCAAAAAAAAAAGAAGTGTCCTTTTCTGTACTGCAAAAGACCCTCGCCAGTGTCGAAGACTTGAAGTTTCTTTGTTTCTCAACCTTTTGAACGTTGTTAGGTCTAAAGCAGAGCTGCTGACGGGTTGTCTCTTAGTTTGTGAATAGGCTGGTCAGCAGCTCTTGGTTTGAGTGATTACTCAAACAGAACTTCAAATCGAGTCGGGGTCATCGTCTTCGCATTTAGGCGGCAGCAACGAAACGCACCAGCTGATGGCCATCACGCAGGCCGGCGTTTGGGAAGTCGGAGCGCACAGGATTCTCTACGACGTGCCCAACTCGGTCAAGGCCATGGCCATCTGCAAGTTCAAACCGACCGCCCAGTATGAGAAGTGAATTCCTCGTGTCTTTTTCTGTGCAAGCGAATTTGGCTTCAAACGTCTTCAAAATTTTTGAGCCCATTTTTGGATTTATAATATACAAGTCTAGTTAGAGCCTTTTAGTGAACCGAAACGTGGCTGCAGTACCATAGCTGTTTGAATTTTTCCACTAAATTTTGAACACCACTTGATTTGGCGATTCAGGCTTTGAAGAAACTAGCGACGTCCTCAGATCCATCGGCATCAGCAGCAATGTTTACGACAAGATGATGCTCCTTTCGTTCTCGAACATGTACAGGTGATTCCGTTTTTTTTTGTCTCCTTTAGTATTGAACTCGATTTTTCAAGATACGAAAGGGATCCACAAAACGAGAATCAGATCAACCCGGTGGAACTTCACGAAAAATGCAAAGTTTATCATTATTTACTTTGTTTCTTGAAGAAGTTTCACGTTTCAATCATTTGTAGCGGAAATTGGAAACATACACTTTTCCTAGACTTACACATTCATTCAGTCTTCTGAGAAGATTATCTGTTGAATCATGGAATAATTGAAGGGTTTTTGGTCGGTTCGAACAACCCTTAGGGGTCCCTATAGGGGTTAGAGGTCTGACCCCTTAGTTCCTAAAGCTCAAGTGGAATCCATAGGGCTCTCTTAATTTCATTTAAAAAACACATATGGTTGCCCCGACCATTCTGGAGTCAATAAGAACAACTGCTCCTTCATGTAAGAACAGTAAGGCTGCTTGTACAAAACTGGCATACTTGAGACTTATTGTTGCTGTCAAAAAATGTTTCTTCCCGAAATGTCAAACCTGTCAAATTGATTCTAGGCTTGATTCTTGACTCATCATGACTTCAAAATTATTCAGAGCCTGTGCGAGTCTTTCGGCATGCCTTGTTACGCGGTCGTTCCAACCGCAAACAACGCCAAAGATTTGCTGGATTTCATGAGGAAAGAACGACATCAAGTACGCCCTCACGCCGATCCTCCGTTCCACTGTCCCGAGGTTGGTTTTCAGTGATAAGTAGAGCTCACAGATCAAGGGGCGTGCAATCTAACATAGAAATGAATAAATAACAATCCGCAATGACAAAAATGTGACAAGTTTCGTTGATCAATGACTTTCAGACAGTAGAACATTTAAATTTAATTGTAGGTTCATTTAAAAAAAATTTACTTTGATAGAAATTTTTCTGGAAAACTGATTATAAGAACGAGGTGCATTCGTGCTCTGGTGAATGGTCTGATGTACTCAGAAAAAATAGTTTTCATTTCTTTTGGGCTTTTTACGAACGTTAGTTTTCTTCATCAAACTCGATGCCTTGTTCAATGTGATTCCGCAAAATGCAAAATGATCCCTGATTCTCTAAAATTTAGTGATATTTTCCTTTCTCTAACGGGTGTTTTGCATTTTGCGGAGTCAAATTGAACACGGCACGAGTTTTAACAATAGCTCTAAAAGATAAAAAAGGCTTTTTTTTAATCTCTCGGTGATAATTCAGCGCTACTGGAGACTGCAATCACAATGGCGGCGGCGCCGCTCGCGGCCAGTTCGCCGGTGTCGACCCACTGTTGACGGTCTGTGTCGAGTTTTTCGGGTTCAAAAAAGATTAAGTTTGAGCTAGGACTGAGAAATCTTTTTTAGTCTTTGTAAGAATCTTGAAAACCAATTCTCATTAATGAACATGGATTTTCAACGTTTAAGGACCGGCGAAACTTTTGGGTGTCCTGATGCCACTAGTAAAAAGTGGTTTGGTCGACGTATGATTGCTGTTCCTTCAATTTTCGAATGTCAAGCCGTCCATCAAGCTCCGCCCCTAATGGCGCGATGAATCAATCAGAGAGCGAGCCATCCACAGAGCGTTGTTGGGGGCGGAGTTTGCCTCTCGACATTCAAAATCTGGTTGATTCAAAGGTGGCTTGAGCCATCTGAAAAAGGGTTTCAACATTATTATAAAAAGACAGAGCTCGGTCGGTGAAGAACGCAGAGAAGCCACTTACGCGAATGTTGGTATCAGAGCACTATAGTGATCACTTTAATAGCGTCCGCACTCTTAAAAGATCTCTTGAATTGCTCAGAAAAGTCCGGAGTTTTGCGTTACCAATGTACGAGTAGTGTCCCTTGCTAGCTGTGCATTGACTATAGAGCAAAGCACAACTTTTTGCACCGTTTTTTTAAAATCCAGTCTTCTTCTTTAGGATTTTTTAGCACTCATGTTGTATCTAAAATTAACCAAGTCTCAAAAAAGTTGTTGCACTCGTCGGGTTCATCTTTTTTGAATGTCATTGTATTTCTTGACAATAACTGACTTTGCTCTTCTCCTTTCAGAAAGTATCCCTACCGGATGGCCTTTGGAAAAACGGGCCTAAAGACGCTTGTTCGGCTACCCCGCGTGTCGGAGTTATTTTCCAGGAGAAGTGAGTAGACACTTATTTTAAGGATTTCAAAAAAGTGCTGTTCGGAATGGACATCTCGGTGTATATTGCAAAATAGTCGCTTTTCATTGGTTTTCTGTTTGAATTAACGTCCAGATAATGTGAAAATGGGGGATAATAAACCAAAGAAAAAAGCAAAGTTATTTCTTGGTCTTTGAAGCACTCATTTCCATCTTAGAAATTCTCTTATCACCCATGGTTTTGGTTAAACTAATAAAGCGCCTATGGCGAAAATTTCGAAAACGGCAAGATGAATTTTACCCGGGATTGTTCCGAAAATTGGCCAGAACGCTCCTTGATGTGCCGGAAGATGGTTCTGAAAGTTTCAACCTGCACAATTTTCTCGTTTTCGAAGAAAGACGCTTCCAAGTCAAAGAAAACCCTCAAAATGGACTATTTCGGGACTCTAGGCCCCTAATTCTCGTAAAGTAGAAAGTTGTGCAAGTTGAGACTTTCAAGGTCTTCATCTCATTCATCAAAGAGTGTTCTCGCTTTTCTTGAAGAAGTTCACAACCCCAAAATAAAATGACCTTCCTTGTCATTTCAAAAATTTTCAAAAAGGCAATCAACACAATTTCTTCAAGCATGCCAAACTTCTGAGTGGTCAGTCTGAGGATGATATCAACGTTCTAAAAACCTCTGATGGAGAGGCACTTACCTGCAACTTCGCTAAAGCTAACCTCTTATCTACAAAATTTCATTCATTTTTCACAATCGATGACGGAAAAACTCCGCCATGTGTTTCTAAAACATCTAACCGTTTATCTGTCATAGATCTCCCAGCGCACAGAATAGAAGCTTTTTCTTCGTAGAATGCCCTCTAAATGTAACACTACTCCGGATGAAATCCCTCCATTTTTGCTCAAAAAAACTGTTCCACATCTCTCGCCTATCCTCTTTCTATTATTTTTTTAACGCCTCTCTCCGATCTGGTCAAATTCCATCTGTTTGGAAAAAAGCCATTATCAAACCCTTACACAAAAAAAGAAGTAGATCTGACCCTTCAAATTACCGTCCAATTAGTTTAACCAGTTCAGTTTGCAAATGTCTTGAAAAAATAGTTGTGCACGATTTCAGCGTTTTTCTCAACTCTAACTCTTTGTTAAACTCTAACCAATTTGGATTCCGCCCTAAATATAACACGTCTATTCAACTAATTCAATATTGTGCAAATCTTTTTGAAAATGCAAACAGTAACCTTTGCACGGACGCTATCTATATTGACTTTTTGCAAGGCTTTTTGATACTGTCTCTCATGCTAAACTTGTTTACAAGCTTCAATTTTACGGCATTTGTGGTCCTCTTCTTGGCTGGATCGAATCCTACTTGACTAATCGTGTGCAGTGTGTTTCTCTTTCTGGAGTACTTTCCGACCCCGCTCCTGTACTCTCCGGCGTACCCCAGGGGTCGGTCATCGGACCCCTTCTGTTTCTACTTTTTATTAACGACATTACGGATAACTTTCGCTCTGCGCCCCTTCTCTATGCTGACGATTTAAAAATTTTTTCTTCGCTCACAAAAACCTCTAGTTCTACTGTCATCGAAGAAGACCTCAAATTACTCGAAAACTGGTGTTCAACATGGCAAATGGCTATAGCTCCAACTAAATGCTATTCTATTCATTTCGGAAAACGTAACCCAAATATTTCTTATAAAATTTCAAACATGGCTTTACAGCCTAAACTTACAGTTCGAGATCTTGGTGTAGTTTTCTCAAATAACCTTAAGTTCAATGATCATATATCTGAAATCTGCAGACGGTGTAAATGTCGCATAAATGTTATGTTTAACGTGTTTCGATCCACTGAGCTTTAATAATAATAATAGATAGTTTAGTCACTGCCATTATTTAACATTAAAAAAAATAATTGAAGAATAGATGATCAAGTGAAGGAATAGGCAGAGAAATAACAATACACGGGAAAGAGTCAACCCCAACGAGTTGACGGGTACCCGGAAATATGGCAAATTCACAGGAGACGAGAGGGGATATTTTCATGAAAGGCTTCAAACGGAAGAGCATTCAACTTTTTACGCAGAGTTTCTGGGGTAACGTTAAAATCTAAATAAGAAGTTAGTTTATTCCAAAGAGGAATAGTTCTAGAAAAAAAGTCATTAGAAAACTGACCAGTAGTCCGTAGTCGAAGTGGATTCCTCTGTAAAAGGGATAAAGAGAAGAATTTATTACGGTCGAGAAAATGATCAGAGCCACAGATGATTTTATGCAAGGTGATAATGTCACAAATTTCACGACGAATGAATGACGGTTTGATGTTAAATTGACTAAGGCGATCTGAGTAGGAAGTGAAACTAACATTACAACGAATGAAAACTTTCCGACTAAAAAGACGCAGTGAAGATTCAAGTTTGTGAGATTCCTCAGAGGAAATGGCGGGTGAGAAAAGCTCGGAGCAATATTCAAGAACTGGATTAACGTAGGTTTAAAACATACGGAAGTAGTTAAAAGGTGAAGAGAACTTGAAGGTATTCAGTATTTGATTAGAACGTAAGGTGGCAAAAGCAGCAATACGGCTGATGTGTTGTTTAAAGGAAAGCTTGTCATCGATAAATAAACCAAGGTCACGTACTATGGAGCTTTGAGGAACTTCAAGGAGGTCAACATAGTAAAGGGTGCGAGGATTATTTGGGCCAAAGTGAACAGAGAACGTTTTGTTTGAGGCGAGTGGGAGAGACCAAATATGAGACCATTCAAGGATACCGTTAATGCTTGATTGGAGAGATCTGGGACAGGAGCTATAGATTTTTAATATCATCCGCAAAAAAATTGAGATAGAGGTAGAGGAATCAATGTAATTTTTCGATATCGTTGATGAAAAATGAGGAAGAGGAGAGGGCCGCTGACAGTGCCTTGGAGGACACCGAAAGGGTTGGGAAAGCAATTGTTGGCAAAAGACTTGTTGACCTTAACAATTGAACTTCTGTGAGATAAAAAATTAGAGAACCAACGGCTCAGAGTATTATCAAAACCAAAGTTTAGCATTTTAAGACGTAGCAAATTGTGATCTACTCTATCAAAAAGCTTTGCTGAAATCAAAGTAAATAACATCGACATTTAGATTGGAGGCCAAGGACTTTTTTTATGTCGGATATAGAAGAGATGAGAGAGAGTTTGCAAGATCTACGGTTTAAAAAAATCCATATTGAAATCGAGAGAATTTATGAGCGAATCGAGTTTCTAACCATATGGGCGATAATACGTTCCAATACACGTGATATAGGATGAGTGAGAGAGATCGGACGGAAATTGGAAGGGTCAGACAAACTGCCTTTTTTTATGTACAGGTATGACCGTAGTGTGTTTTAGAGAAGAGGGATAACACCAGTTAAATAGGATTCATTAAATAGGAGAGACAGGGGAAGGCTTAAAGATCTAGCACATCTTTTAAGAACAAGAAAGTTAATATTATCAGTGGAAAAATCCACATTTCGGAGGTAGAGAGGCAAGAAATTTATAAACAACATCAGGGGGAGAAAAAAATATACTACAGTTAATAGGTTCAGGTGAGGGAAGAGCTGGGAAAGGTTGAGGGCTAGTGTTAGAGAAATTGGAATAGAACACAGATGAGAAGACATCGGCCTTTGATTCATCATCAATTATATAATTATCATTGAAAAGCAGATTGGGGATCCCAGAATCGATCTTAAGCTGTCTTGAAATAAATTTGGAAAGTTTAGAGGAGTTGTAGAATAGAGCAACTTTGGTATGGAATTTCCTTAATAAAAAAGCAGTTCTTTTACGAATAAGTTTTACAGTGAGATTGAACTTTTGCCGGAGGTGAGTGGAATGAAGACCGTTATTGATTAGAGAGGCTTTTTTTTGAAGTAAGCGACGAATTAGACGGTCAGATTTGAAATTAAAAGAGGAACGGTGAGAAAGTGAGGTGAAAGGACAATTGTCGCGAATCAATTCATTAAATATACGAAGAAAATGCTGAAATTTAGATTCAACTGTAGAAAAAAAACTGAATTGACGATCCCAGTTAAGCGAAGAAAGAGAAAGATTGATCGAATCGAAGTTGCATTTGGAAAAATTCAATCGACGAATAGTGGTAGGAGACGAGGGAATCAAAGGACATTTATATTTGAAAAGGACCGTATTATGATCAGAATTGAGGAGAGGTTCAGAGACATTAACGTCTATGATTGAATTGGACGAGTTGGATAGAATAAGATCGAGAATGTTGGAAGAATGATCCGTTATACGAGTGGGAGAGGGAACAAGCTGTGTTAAATTAGAGCTAAGGCAAAAATCTAGCATTTTTTGAGAACATAGATTAGTACAAGATAAGTTAAGCCAATTGATTCCTGGATAATTAAAGTCTCCAAGGATCGTACAATTCTGAGAGGTAACGAAACGATAAATTTCTATCGAAATCAATGGGGAACCTCCTTTCATTGTATTTAAAATGCTTTGAAGTGTATATTCGTCCTATTATTGATTATTGTTCTGTAGTCTATGCTCCAATTGACTCTCACAATATTTGTTTGATTGAAGGTGTTCAGAAAAGTTTCCTTTTCCGAGCTTACCAACGTTGTGGCTTGCCCTACCACTCTTATTTCACTTGTTTATCTGAAAATAGTCTCAAAACTCTTGAGACAAGACGCCTCATCTTTGACATGTCTCTTGTTTTTAAAATTGTACTTAGAGAAGTCCCCATTGATTTCGATAGTCTCTTCTTTTTCCCTCGTGTCCGTGCGCTGCGTCGCCATCGCTATTATTTACGTTCAAATATAAGACATAATAGTAACATCGTTGCCTCGTTTTTTAGTATCAGAATAATTAATGTTTGGAACTCCCTTCCCGATGTTGTATTTGATCTATGTAATGATTCTATGCGACTCAAAATCTATTTAGAAAACAACCCCCATCTTCTCGCTGACTTTCTTAAAATATCTTCTAACTTTTAAACGGTTTGTTGCTGTTTTCAATGTTTAAATTTCCCTTTTTGAAAATTGGTTCTGTTAGAGGTCTTTTCGGCCCTTGAACTGTATTATTATTCGTATTGAATAAATGATGATGATGATGTCAAGAAGTAAGGCTTTGAGGTTCTTCTTTAGCGTATTTTGGACTTTGCCCGTTTAAGAGGGGATTATTTATTAGCCACCCTAGTACAAGGGCACGTACAAAGACCTTTTAGTGCAGTAGGAGGATCTCTCAGAAAAACCGGAAAAGGGAACAAAAATTATTTCTGACCTCAAGGCGGTGTGTTTCAGGCAGGAACAGCTGTTCGAGACGATTCCTGTCGTCGAAGCCCGTCTCATCTGTGCTACCGGTGACTTTCCAACGAGCGAAATCATAATGGAGTGACGTTTGCAGTCTCTGGCGATTCGGTCGTCAAATCGTGCAGCAAACGCGCGATTTTCTTCGATGGAAAGTGCAAATGCAAGCCTGGCTATACGGACGCCAACGAGAACTCTAACGGACCTCGTGTAAAATCAGATTGTTATAGCAGGCTTTTGCGAGGGTCGACCCCGTCAGCCTCAACTCGGCTTGCCCGGCCTTGATAGCTCTGGCGTTTCTGTGTAGCTTTGTTGCTGATAGAACTTAGGAATTCCAGAGTAGTCCCTATAGGGGTTACGGGGAAAAACAGCCCCTATAAAAACCGGAAAAGTGGTCCCCGAAAAGTGGGTCTGACGGGCGTCGGATCAAGTCTCAGACGAGACCAGTAATAAAGGCCGACCACTAGGGGTGGTAGAAATGCCTCTATTGAAGTTGGAGGACAACTTCGATTGGATAGTTAATCAGAGAAAACATAGGTCTTTTTTTCGCGAACCTATCTGCAGAGGACAAGAAAGAGTGGAGAACTTCATTTGAGTTTTCACCATGAAACAGCAGAAAAGTTGAGATGAATCAACTTTTTTTCCAAATATTTTGACCTTTCCCTTTAATATTTTTTCACTTTTATCCTGTTTTTTTTTACAGGGTATCAAGTGCATATCCTGTCAGGTGCAGCACAAAAAGATCATTCTTGGCATCATGTTTGACTCTTCCGGATCCATTTCTTCTTATGATTACAATAAAAAGGTAATTTTCTGCCAAATTTGGAATGGGAACGAGTATGTACAATAGTTATGATAATGATTTACTGGCCATTAAGATATTTTAGAAAGGTTTTCTTAGCATAACTTCTCTGAATGTGGTTGAAAAGTCTTGAAATTTTGCAAACGCTTTTTATAGCTTTGCAAAAACTTATTTTCGCATGCAAAACCCATTTACTTGAGCTAGACTAGAATAGTAAACAAAAAATCGAAAATCGCACAAATTAAAATGTTTCCAAGCTTTAAAACATGAAAAGCAGTCTCAACAAACAAAGTCGACCGCGTATAGTCCATTCGAATGAAAGGGCCTCAAAACGCAATAGCCTTTCGAAGAAAAGACTACTGCGCTCTTACGATCGGTTTAGTCGGGAGCTGATTAACTTTTTTTGAAAGCCGAAGACTCGTTTTACAATGGTAAAACGTTGGAGGCTGAAATTTAGAGTAGCTTGAGAAATTTGATTCTCGGTTTTTGCTCCCAGTTCTAGTCTAGCTTAAGCAAATAAGTATTGTTTGCGAAAATGAGTTATTGCAAAGCTATGTAAAAGGTGCGCCAACTTTCAAGACTTTTCAACCCCATTCAGAGAAGTTATGCTCCAAAAATCATTTTGAAACGTTTTTATGGCCACTACTGTACCATGAACTATTTCGAAAAGATCTGCTTTTTCCAGGAAAATATCAATGGAAATCTTCAAATTCAGATTCTCCCACTAGTGCAAAACTTGTACAGGAGTACGTATGGAAATTACGTGATCCTGACAAAGTTCAGCAACGCGGCCACAGTAATCGATTATTCTGGAAAGTCGCATGTCGAGGATGCTGTGGAACAAATTCCAAAGGATTTTGTTTACGACCATGGGGGTACCGATACCACTTCGGCTATCCAAGAAACACATGAAAAAATGATGGTTTGCTCTTTGTTTATCATAAAAATTGACTTATGTGATTATCAAAAGTTGTGGTACGAAAAAAAGGTGGTATGAAAAAAGACCAGCGAAAAATTGAACGGAGACTTTTCCGATTTTTTCGTATTGCTAGGGAACTTTCGGACTTTTTTTCTAGATTAACTCTTCGTTTTAAGCCTTTCTATGTGGAATAGGTAGGATTATTGATTAAAACACAGAAAAAAGGAAAAAAAAATGTTAATAAATCTTTTATAAACCGGAAAGATAAAAGAGAAAAAAGTCGAAAACGTCGTAGTCGGAAAGTTCCTTAGCGATATACATTAAACATTGGAAAAGTTTCCGCTCGGAAATTCGCTGACTGTTTTTTCCATACCACCTCGAAAGATTTTCAATTTCTTCAATCGAATGTTTGCCACAAAAACACCAATTTATAAGGTTTTTTCGATTTACAAGTATCCGCAAAGTGTTGTAAAAAAAGGAATTTTTTAAGGCTCTGAAAAACAAGTATCCGAGTTCCACGATGCACATGATTCTGATCACTGATGGAGCTCCGGACGATGTTGGTGAAAAGTGTCCGAAAAACACAAAGTCTTGAAAAAACATGAGTTGGAAGAAGAAGGTGTCACAATTTGCGAGAACATTCTAGCCAAAAGCGTATCAAAAAATGAAAAAAAAAAAAACAAATCAAGATTTAGGAAATGTTTATGTTATGGGATTTAAAGTAGAGGGATTCACAGAATGTACTAACTCGCTCAAAGATTGATTGAAAAATTGGCTTTCTGACTTCTTTTTCTGAATTATTTTTTTGGCTTAGATTGAAAAAGTTTTTTTCAGCGTTACAAAGCTGCCAGCGCCGGTAAAAAGGTTGGTTTTTCAAAAAATTTTCATTTTATAAATATATTCTACGGGTGTATAAAGCCATCCAATTTGATCAAAAGTCTAAGACCGAAACACTCATTTTCTCTGAACCGAGTTGTGCTTGGTTGAATTTTGGTCCGAAGTACGACCTCGATCATAGTAAAACTGCGTAAAAATAATTCGCAACATGTGAACGCTAAATGGAACTTAATATTCAACATTTTTCTGTTTTGATCATTATTCAAACATGACAGGCGTCTTTCAGGCTCGTGAAGACGGTATTAAAATGCAAACGGTTCTCATTGGAAGCGGCGCGGAAAAGCAGGCCAAACTAGTCAATTGCGGGGACGTAGACGCATCGAATGAGGAGTGCGGGATCAGAGCCGTCTCATTTCCGGTGAATATCCCGAGAGCGATGGAGAATTTGCGTGAATGAGTTCAGGAAGTGAACGAAGACCTTTCCAAGGACCTTCTGGTGACCGTTTGCGACGAGGACAACAGCGCCGTCCTCAGCGGCTAGTGTCCGGCGTCTTCTTCTTTTTTCCCCCCTCGACATTTCTGTAGATTTTCGAAAGCTCATAAAGCTCAATTGGAAAAAGTTTTGTTTTTTTTTTCATGAGTACGAAAAGAGATTTAAATTTGTGCTTTGTGAAAAGAAATGTCTTCAAATTCTACAATTTTTAGTGTTGGTAAAAAAGAAACTAATTTTTTCTCATAGGTTTTATAGCCCGTTTTCCGCGACCTTAAATGGCGGGGCATCTCTCGCCGTCTCTCTCTCACGTTTACGTGCTATTTCCAAGTTCTTTTGACCTCGCCGAGAAGAGATCAGAGAGACGCAGACACGCGAAAACTGTCGAGTCGCGGCGGACGGACTGTATCAGACTCTCCATGAGACCGAAAAGAAACTTGACATTTTTCTCCTTTAGTTGTTTTCCCCCTGAGCTAATGAATGTCACCACGCGAAAGTCGTTTCTATCGGTTGCGTTTTTAAGTTCAAAAGCGATAGGAAATCGAAATAATTATGCAGTTTGAGCTTTGTAAAAAAAAATCGTGCACCGGTGTGTGTTCATCCTTCGCTGAGATGCTTATAAAACTTTCATGATCATTTGATGGAATGAAAAATAAAATCGTAAAACGGATGGATCAACTTTCTGAAGCTCACTTCGAATAGAATGTTTTTACAAGAGAAGAGTCACGCAAATACTCGAGCAAAGTCCAAACGGCCTCCAAAAGGCGTCTCGAAGAAGATTTTAGAGCTTTTGTTTGAGCTCCTGAAAATGTGTCAAAAGTTTCTCTGAATCTTCTTTTTTCACCTTTATCCCGCTTCCTCCTTGAAAGGTCCTTGTCAGAAAAGGGTCTTAACAAAGGCGCGTGTAAGGCCTTATTCCAAAGATTCTTTTTATAAATAGGTACTTCTGGACTTTGCCCGGGGTCACAGAGGCTCCAAAACGAGAAATCATGTTCTTGGCGCGAAGTTGCTCCAAAACAGTACTGATTCTTGTTTTGGAGCAACACGCCATAAATTTTTCAAACTGAGCAATCAACCGAATTTCGACCATTTTTGTTAGTAAAAGAAAATGGGAAGCCTAAAACACGGTGGGCGGAGCCAAAATATCCGCCGTTCCCACGTGACGTCATGGGAGCGGCAGAGATTTCGGCTTTAAAAGCGTAAATAACAGGGCATATTAAAGGGGCAGGCCGCCGTATTGTCAGAGGTCTTTAAGATGAATCGACACATAAACACAATTTTCTGCGCGAAAGTAGCGCAGTGCATGCACACGACACACGACACTTTACAGAGAAAAAATGGGCGTGGCGTCGTCGGAAAAACGTCATGAGACGTAGACATTTTTGCTCGAAGTGAATTGGAGATGATCTCATTAAAAGTCTCATGACTTGACTTCAAACGGGAATATTTAACGTGTAGTATAAAAGGGAGAAAGATAACGAGGTGGACATTTATCTGCGAAGAACTCCCGCAGCAATGTTGCTGAAGTGGATCTTCGCAGCTTCTTTCTTCGCTGTTGTTGCTGGAGGTGCACTTTTTGGTCTTTTGGATAACTCAAACGGAGGCAAAAAATATAAGAAGTTTATATGATTCAGATACATCGGCATACATTTTCTGCCTAACTGCCGGAGGATCATGGGAGGCGCCGGTGAGTAATTTTTCGCTTTTTTCGTTTGAAGCTTTCGTTTTTTAGGCCAAGGGTCCGCCAATCTGCAGGGGATACAACGCCCGTTTCGAATCTAAAACTAAGGTATTATTAGAATAACGGCCATTCAACTGGGAGAATCATTTGAGAAAGAAGCTGAAGACGCGTGTGCCTACAAGGTTCCTTTTGACGTCGTCGGGGTCAAAACGGGATGGCCGACCCTCTGCGACTTTGGTAAAGCAAGAGAACTAGAAGCTTGACCAAGCAGAGATTTTCATTTATCACGAAGAGTAGCCCGGAAGTCACACATCTGGCAAAGTTTGAAGGCCCAAAAACGAGCGCGAAAAAGCGCAAAAGTTCCGTTTTCCGTTCTTTCTGAAGCATATTTCGCCCGGATTTAAAGGCTTAAGAAAAAGCGAAAAAAGGCTGATGAATGGTCGCGAAAGGAAAGCAAAATGGAACCTTTTTGGGGACAATACAGAAACCTTAAAGCTTTGCCAGTGAATGGATATGTTATTGGAGCAAGTCTCAATACTTCTTAGTAATGAACTTCTGCTGAGCGACTTACTTAGGAACTCCAGAGTGGCCCTTATAGGCTATAGAGGCGATGTTAGGGACCCTTAGGAGGTCCTCTTTAGGGACCACTTTACCAATCTCTATAGGGGCTACTAAAGCTTGTGATAATGGTCATTATAGGGGACATGCCAGTCGATAATTTCTATGAAATTTAAGCGAAGAAGCGTTTTCATGAGAATAATTAAATGAATAACTGTATTTTAAATGAATATAAGAGACCCCTATAGGGTCTACTTGAGATTTAGCGTCTTACGGGTCAGACTCTGAACCTATAGGGGCCACTTTAACTTTACACCTATTACTGTTTCGGCCCCTATGGAGGTTGTTTTTCCTTCCTAACCCCTAAAGGGACCACTCAGGAATTCCCAAGTGGAACGCCAGTTTTATTTTTGCAAACGATCTGTCTGCAGAAGTGAGAGCGTCGTGTCCCGACGACTGGATCCAGATTGACCACGAGTGTTACCGAGCAAACTCGGTGCTGATCTACCAGCACCAAGCCCGCGCGGTTTGCAAGAACATAACTGGTGTCGACGGCACCTTGTTCAAGTTAACGTCGACTCGACTGCAATGGGAGATTTATGGTGTGTTTGCAATGGGAACGACAAATGACGAAGAGTTGTGATTCCAGCGGCTTTCACCAATCTGCCTGGTCTTTGGATGGACGTCGAAGGAAAACGGAACGAGAAAGGAGATTTGGAGTCGAGTTTGGGCCAACTGTACAAATGGAGACGGCCGAGACATACGATCGACACTGGTTTGAAACAAGAAAAGATGTGGAACATGGGCTTGAGAAGTGAATCGCGTACCATGCAAACCTGAGTTGATAAAAGTCTTGACCAATAGGGACTCGGACCTTGGTTCAATAGCCTAGGGCGAAAAAAAAGCATGAAAATTCATATTTTATTCCAAAACTATGTGAAAAAACGGACATGAGCTCTTTTTCTCAATGCAAGAGACGATCTTTCAGAAACTTGAATTTATTCAGGTCTTATGTCCTTAGATCAAATGATCTGAATAAGAAAATCTCATCTAAAGCGCTGCAACTGCACTTCACGGTGGACGTTTTTTGTAATTTCTATGCATGCGATCTCACAATGAAATACATAAACATAGTCGAGACTTGGTCAATTAGAGCACACGTCTGATAGATCCCTCTTCCCGCCGATTGCCCGCGAAGCCAAAATTCAAACAGTTTCTAAGTTTCGGTGTGCCTTAGACAATGGTGGCAAAAGGTAGAGGGGGAGAACGGAGGTTGAAGAAGAGCGAGCTGGACGGCATCCGGCTCCGGCTCGAATGAGGAGCCTGTACCTGGTGTGTCCGCAATCCGCTCTCTCCCCCTCTTCTGTAAAAGCCCGAGTTATTTTTGTCATTATAATGTGAAGTCGAAGAGACTGTGCTGAGCCGCTCGACGCAGGCTCAAATCTACCTGCACGATCTCCTCGCGGCAGACGCCTCTGTTTTAGCTGTTCTAATGACCCTTAAGATCGTCTGGAGAATGACGGTCTATTGCGTCAATGACTTCTTCTTTCTCGAATTCAAAGCTCACAGATAGCTACAATATTAACTCTTCCTGAAACTACTCGATTTTCGAGGTTTAGTTGTAAATTGAATGATAAAATACGTCCAACTAATTCGCAGTGGAACATCTGAATGAGACTAGGCTCACTAGAGGTAGTTTTTAGTTAAGGCCGACGATATGAGTTTTCAGGAGGCAGCACCGAAACGCATCAGCTGATGGCCATCACCCAGGCCGGCGTTTGGGAAGTCGGAGCGCATCAAATCCTCTACGACGTGCCCAACTCGGTCAAGGCCATGGCACTATGCAAGTTCAAGCCGACGCCCAGTATGAAAAGTGATTAGTTTTTCTGTGAATTGTAACATTATAAAAATGTTGTCTCAAAGCTCCAAATGAGAGAAAATGCGTCTGTTCAAAGCTCGAATAGACTAATCCTTGGATTTTTTCCGCTTCCAAACTGCAAAAAATCACTTTTCCACTCGGAACCTCAAGTTGAAAGCCATCTCTGAGCGGCTACATACAATTTCCATTTTTTGAAAACCTGGATCGGCTTTTCAGGCTTTCAAGAAACTAGCGACATCCTAAATTCTATCGGCATGAAGAGCAATGTGTACAACAATATGATGCTCGTTTCGTTTCCCAGCATGTTTAGGTTCAATTTTTACCCAATCCCAATCGATATTTAAATGTTTGAAGATTCGAGAAGGATCCGCAAAACGAGAATCAGATCAGTCCGGCGGACCTCCACGATAAATGCAAAGTAATATCTAAACACACCTATTTGTAAAGTTGTCTTGGAACTTTTTTTTTCGCATCACTAACGAAAGAAAAACTCGGTTCAGAGTCTGTGCGAACCTTTCGGCATGCCTTGCTATGCAGCAGTTCCAAACGCAAATAACGCCAAGGATATGTTGGATTTCATGAAGAAGAACGAAATCAAGTACGCCCTCACGCCGATCCTCCGCTCCACTGTCCCGAAGTTTTTCTTTTTTTATGTTTAGAAATGGGGAAAGCTCCAGAAACGCCCCCCTTCCCCCTTTCCAAACTGTTCTCACCCCCCGCGTTCTAATTTTTTTGGTGGGAGCTTTTTTTAGAACTTTTTCTCATCTGGATGGGGGTTGTGAGATAGTCTCATAACGCTCATTCGAACAAGTCCCTCTCGGATTTAAAAAAATCACCCCCCCACGTCTCAGAGATCCCTCCCCCTCCTTATACTTTCCGAGAATGGTCAATTTTCTGAAAACACGGCCGAAGATTCTGAGCACTTAGATGATTCCACAAACCTGCACAAACTTTCAGTTTTTGAATTATGAATTTCAGATTTTTCGTGGCAATTCTGGTGTTGAATGCAAACTTTGAAAAGACATGTCTCGAAAATTTTTCACAGGGATATCCATTTGGGTCATCGGAGAGTCTTGGAGAGAATTTAGATGACCTTCCTTGTAGTGGTTTTTTCAGTTAAATGCCAGAAATCTGACAATTTTTGGACTTTGAAGGGTCGAAAAAATGTTTTTTTCAGAGCTAGTGGAGACTGCAGTCAAGATGGCGGTGGGGCTGCTCGTAACCAATTTTCCGGTGTTGACCCTTTGTTGACGGTTTGTCTTGGATTCAATTCATCTAGACAAATTTGATACAATCGAGAAAATCGAAACTTCTAGAATTCATCTATTTCTCGTGATTTGAAGGGATAATTTTGTTTGACAAAGGATTAAGCTCAAGGCTGTGCGCTGGCCGAATCGGCACACAATTAGCCCTTATTTTGACCTTTTTTTCATTTCATAATTTCCAGCACATAATTTTTCTGAATAACACCATTTTCATTAACTTCCCCATTTACACACTCTGTGAAATATTTGAGACAAGAAGTTTTTTCCGTTCAGAAAGATCCTCTCCCGGTCAGCTATTGGAAAAATGGACCCAAAGACGCTTGCTCGGCTATTCCACGTGTTGGAGTCCTTTTCCATGAAAAGTTTGTGAATTTATATAGTCTGTGTGCCACGACTTGAAATTTCACCGAGCGACATTCCGCTGTTCCGCTGCGTGTGTTCGCAAAGCGTCTTTCGAATCTAGGTCACGCTTTCGATTGATTTTCATTGCTGTGAGACCACATGAAAGTAGAGTACCTTATTAAGGGAAAAAAAAAATAAAAGCGCGACCAAGGTTCGCAAAGGCGCGCAGCGGAACACCGGAATGTCGTTCAGTGAAATTTCAAGTCGTGACACATAAACTAGAAAATTTTTTCATGTTTTCTAGGAAGGAAATCATTGAAGTTGAATTTAAACAGGCAAGAGCAATTCTTCGAGTCGATTCCGGTCGTCGAAGCCCGTCTCATCTGTGCTACCGGTGACATTTGATCAGCCGCCATTGATTCCAAGTTATGCCTTTAGCCTCGGAAGACACTGCGATCAAATCGTGCAGCAAACGGGCCATTTTCTATGACGGAAAGTGCAAATGCAAGCCGGGCTTCACGGATGCCAACGATCAGGCCAACGGCCTCTCAGGCCCTCGGGTAATTTTTTTTTTTTTGAGCCATATGAAGCAATTTTTCCCTCTCATGTCGAAAAGCGTTCACTCTTGTTTTTTTTTTTCGAAACTAGATTATAATGTCCGTTTTTCGCGACTTGAGAGGGCGGGACTTCTCTGCGCTCTCCCCGTCTCTAAACGACTCTCTCATGTTGACGCGCTGATTTCGCGTTTCTGTGACCGCGCCGGCGAGGGAACAGAGAGACGCAGACATTCGAAAATTGTCAAGTTGCGGCGAACGGACTATATGGAACATGGGTAGCAGGGTTGCATCAAAGAGGTTTTCGGAAGAAAACTTGGAGTTTCGGGATGGTACTTTTTTTAATCGTAAAAAAGTTGATGATAGTGAATTAGAGAGTATTTGGAAGATGAAAAATCATTACTGAGATCAAAATATGATAGTTTAGGAAAAAAAAAATCCAATTTAGCAGTTTTTTCCGTCTTCTTTACTTTTCGTGAATGATGGTGCTTTCTTTAGAATTTTTTTTTTTTTGATTTTTCAGCTCACAAGAAAAAAGTCTATTTCTTCAAAATGTTTGATTCAAGTGCAGTTTAGTGAATCATATCCGTGCAACTCTGATGGTAGCCCATTTTTTTAAAACCGAAACCCCCGTGAATAATAGTGGCGCCTTGGCTGGAATACTCATTGATGTACAAGATCAATTTCTGGTTTCTAGAAATAATGGCTGGAAAAAACGTTAAGAGGGACTATGTGATAATTTTAATCTTTCGGTTTTCGAAAAATATGAAGATGTGCAGTTTAAGTCTGGGGCAAGGTAGTTTTCTGACGGTCGCTTAACAATTTGATTCCTAATTCCGTCTGTTTGTTTGTCGAATCTTTGCAGGGTGTCAAATGCTTTTCATGCGATTATCCGAAGGACAAAATCATTCTTGGCGTCGTTTTTGATTCTTCCGGATCTATTGGAACACGACGTTTCGGTGATACGGTCACTTTTTTCCCTTTTCACTTCCCATAGTTGCAAACGTTGAACGTGGAGTTTCCATCTTTGTGTAAATCGGAAAAATAGTCTATTTCATGGTTATCTGGATGTCCAGTTGATATTTTTGTATATGTTTCTCTGCTCTTCCATGTTCTTTTTTTCTTTATCTCTCGGAAAAAAAGGAAGCTTTAACAGCGAAATGTTCAGATCCTACCGTTCGTGGAAAGACTGTACAGAGCGATGTTTGGCAATTACGTGATCTTGACAAGATTCTCTACCGAGGCCCAAGCTGTCGATTTTTCCGAAAAGAAGGATGTCGAGGCGGCCGCGCGAGAAATTTCTAGCCTCTTCCAGTGGGATGACGGGTGGACGATGGTCGAAAAGGGTATCACTGAAACACACAACATAATGAAGGTATGTTTAGATGTACAAGTGAAGGCAAATTCAAAAAAAAAAAGGAGAATGACCGCAACCAAAGATTCAAAAAAATTTTCGAGCTTTAATATCACTATGGTTGGATAGCTGCTTCAATTCATTATTCAAAACAGTTTGGTTTTCAAAAAAAGGTTGAGAACCACAAAAGTTAGGGCCGAAACAGTAGTTGAAAAATAAGTGAAATTCAGTACTGAAAGTTTAGATTTTCGCCTTTCGCTCGTTTTTTTTAAAGTTTTTCTTTCAGTTGAAAATTTTTAGCGGTTTATTCTGTCTTTAGAAGTCATAATAAGTCGTTCAAATGTGATCTAACCTCAAGGTTTGAGAAAAAAAAGTAATTTTCTCATCAAAAACAAAAAAGACCGCTGCGGGCATCGAACTCGCTATACAGCACTTCACCTCATAGTACAGCACTTGCCATTCGTCTAGTTTGAAAAAAATGTTTAGACAATTGAATGATTGATAGTAAAAAAATTTCATTAATATGCCGTGGAAGTAAATATTTTTTTCAACTTTGCGCGGCCTCACAAAGATTAGGCTACGCAGGAATTTTAATTTTTTGTGTCTTAAAAAGCTTATTTTCTGAATTGAAACATATTTTAAACAAAAAAAAATTAGCGCATTCGATTTGGAACTAAGTTAAAATTCCGGATCAAAAAGTCGTTTCAGATTTTTGTACGACATTCCGCTGAAATGTTTCAAAAATAGGGTAAAAGTATATGAGGTTGGAGAAGAAGGTTTTCTCTATGTTTCCACCAATTTTCTCCGGTTTTGGTTGAGTATTGCGCTTTTACGAAAACATCAAACACAAAAACTAAAAAACCAGTGCATTTCACCATCGCGAAAAGAGGCGTGGCTTTGCAGTCTCTAAGAATGTTAGAGCGGATTGTTATTTCTTTCTTTAGCGACTCTACTGAAATCGTGCAAAGGCAGTGCCTATGCTGGCATTCTGCAAAAAAAGTAGCATGCATTCTGCAGATCAGAGCTTTCATTTGCCCATAAGAACCTCGCATTTTGCATTTCTTTTTGGTCTCACTTTTGTACAGACGAAAAAAGTGCAAAATGCAAAGCACTGGTTTGCCAAGTGCATGAAGCATTTTTTGCAGAATGCCGGCATAGGCACTGCCTTTTGCAAAAATTTTGTAGAGGAGGACTTCTAAAAAACGAACACTTTTATCAAATCATGGAGGCTGACTTTTTTTACTAGGCAAAATAGGATTGAAATCCTTACAACTATTATGTAGGATTCCCTCTAGGGACCGCTTTACCAACCCTTATAGGGGCCACTAAAGCTTGCAAGAGTGGTTTCTACAGGGGACTTGCCAGTCGTTTATTTTTATGAAGAAGCATTCCCGTGAAAAAACTAGGGTAAATAAGCGTTTTTTGAATGAAATTGAAAGATCCCTATAGGATCCACTCGAGCTTTAGGGGCTAAGGGGGTCAGACTTTGAACCCCTATGTGGACAACCTTCAATTTTACCCCCTATAGGGACCACTCTAGAGTTCCTAAGTATGGTAAATGACAGAATAGCCGCAAATGAGTAACCGAGAAAAAGAGTTTTATTTTCCAGCGCTGGAAAGGAAAAAGCCCAAATTCTCCACAACACCTCATCCTCATGACGGATGGCGATCCGAACCATGTATGGGACCTTTGAAATTTTCCCTGGGAAAAACGAGCATTTGAATCTCACCACGGGTTCGCGAGAATCGCAAGAGTCGGAAATCAAACAGTTTTTATCCGAAAGCTTCTTTTTTCAATATAGCCAAATCCGCGCCAGCTTGTCACGATTTTCCTTTTTCTGTGAGTCGATACAAGCTAGCGCGGTTATATGATTCGTGCAGAAAAACATAGAAAAATCAACGATACAAACCTAATTTTACCAACTTTGTCCGTTCAGCGCGAATTCATCCAACCCGAGTTGTGTCAGTATAGTCAATGTTTCCCGACTTGAAAGGCGAGGGAGGCGGGGCAAGGGGCGGGACGCGTAGCGTGTGCGTACGCGATTCTGGGCACGAGTTCAATTCAACCGCCAGCGAGCATTCAGAGATCTCTTTTATCGCTCTTTTCACTTCTTTTTAACTTCTTTTTCAATTATTTATTGATTATGTTAATTTGTGCATCAAAAAAATTAGTAGAAATACAGAGAAAGAGCGGTTGCCGAGCATTTTAAGTAGTCGGCGGCGATTGAATTGAACTGCCGCCAAGAACCGCGTACGCACACGCTACGCGTCCCGCCCTTGCCCCGCCTCCCTCGCCTTTCAAGTCGGGAAACATTGACTATACTCTGGGAAAATTTTTAGTGGCCATTATAGTAGTAAAATTAGTGGCCACTTAAGAGGTTAAAAACTAGTGACCATTGTAGAGGTCTCAGTGCTACTACTAGACCACTAAAACCTTTAGTGGCCTCTTTAGGGGTCACTGGATCAACATAACTGGTCCAATCTGTCTTTTTTTTTCAAATTATCAGAGTTACTGAAAGGAATACTGGATGAAAAACTACTGTAGTGGCCACTAAATGGAAAATCTCTGTAGTGGCCACTAAAGAGGTGGGTTTAGTGTCCTCTCCGAGTAGTCCTTGGCGAGCCTCTATAGTGTCCACTAAAAATTTTCCCAGTTTTTTAAGATTCTGATTTCTTATGCTTGTTTTCCTTTGTCCTAATTTCTTCCCACTTTTACTTTAACAGATTGGTTTCAGCTCCCAGAAACTCTTGACGCTGTTGCTGCGGTCTGTTTTCTTTTTTTTTTATAAATAGTTCACGCTTCTAAATTTCTTTTCTTTTCGAAGTCCCTTTTGGGTTGTGCTTTTGTGAAAAGTCAAAACATGGTCAATGTATAAATCTTGTCTGAAAAATTTGAATTGGAAGATCTTTGAGAAGGTATTTTGACTAAATTTGAATAACTCTTCCAAGGAAAAACTTTGAGCCATCATGACTCGACTACGAGTGAAAAATCGAAAATTCTTATTTTTGATTCGGAACCAGAATTCCTTAAAAACTGCAAAGTTTCATGAAAAGTCCAAACGGGAGCTGAAAAGTCTACTTGTTTGGTTTTCATCGGTTTATTGATTACCTATGCGATAGAGTCATAAATCAAATCTAACCCAAACGATTTTCGGTACCTCTTTGCCACCTACTAGTAAAGATCTAAACCTAAATTTCAATATTAGAACGAAAAAACAGGCGGTTTTCAGCTTCGCGCTGACGGGGTGAAAATGCAAACAGTTTTCATCAAAGGAAGCTATGCTTCGAAAATTGATCGAGCGAAACTGGTCCAGTGCGGCGACCCCAACGCCGAAAATTCGATCTGCGGACTCACAGAGGTCCCATTCGAAGTGAGTAACTATGTTCAGGGCCGAAATTGTATTGTTCTTCTTTCCAGGAAATGAAAAAAAGGAGTGAAGAACTTTCCAATCGACTCCTGATGAAAGTCTGCGACAAGGACGACAGCGCCACCGGTGGCTAGGACGCCAACTTTTCCTCTCTCGCCATTTCTCTCGCCATTTCTTGAATTTTCAAAAGCTCATAAAGCTTGAGGGATTTTTTGCCTCTACAAAAACAAGAGTATGAGGTCGTTTTATCTTTTCTATCTCTTTCACGACTGGCTTGAGCCATCGAAAAAAGGGTCTTGACACGATAATAAAAGAGATAGTGCCGGATTAATAGAGAGCACAGACACCCCCCGTCAGCGTCCCAAGTTAGCTGGGAATCGGCTATAACAATTATGTGCCCCAATTGAATATTTTTTTAATTAAAAAAATTAGATTCTATTACATGGATGAGTTCTTATTGATCGTCTCTATTTGCGCCCGACCTTGAGTGACTTTTCCCTCCCATGGTTAAGGATGTCACCACGCGCAAATATTTTGATCTTGCTCAAAAAGAAAAAATTTTGATGTGAAAAGCTTGTAGGTAAAAATAGTTTATCGTTGTTTTTTCATCCTTCGCTGAGCTTCTTCGACGACCTGCCTCAGGCCTTCCTGGTCGAGCTCATCCAGTAGAACTGACACCGCCGAAGTGATCTTGTTTTGCCGCATGTCCTGGAAAAATCGAATTTTTTTCAAGAATGATCTAGATTTAAGTTTTTTTGATTTTTGGGATGTTTGATGAAAGATTAAATTTTTATCTGATCCAGATTTCGAGGTAGAGAAATTAATAAATAAACTTTTATAGGCTTTTGAGAACTCTCCAAAAGTTATGATTCCAAAAAAAATTCATATTTAGAGATTCATTTTTTAACGAAGCTATGCTTGTTGAATGAAACTAGGTTGACGATTTTTAAGCACGGAATTGGAAAAAGCGTCCTTTTTAGTGGCCACTTCAGTAGCTTTTCATCCAGTATTCCTTCCAGCAACTCTGATAATTAAAAAAACAAACAGATTGGACCATTTATGTTGATCCATTGACCCCTAAAGTGGCCACTGAAATTTTTAGTGCTTTAGTAGTAGCACTTAGACCTCTATAGTGGCCACTAATTTTCCTACTGTAGTGGCCACTAAAACGTCAATATCTATAATGGCCGCTAAAACTTTTTCCAGTAAAAAATAGAATCTTACTCTGGCTGGACTTCCCGAGTTTTGCCTTGATGTCCGTCTCCTCGGCATGCTGATACTTCTCCCGTAGTTCTGAAATTACCTTTTTCTAGTTTCAATATTCTCGGTTCTTGTAAGTTTTCAGGATCTTCGATGTGCCTTTGAAGACCCCAGAAGGGTGTTTTGAATCAAATCAAATCTACCCACCTGAGGCCTTCTTTCCGGTGTCACCATCAGGCTTTCATGCATACTCGTGTACATCCGGTTGGCGATTCCGTCCATTGAGGCTGGCCGGTAGTCGTCTTCAACACTGGAAATGGATGGTTTCTGAGTATTTTTCGTGGTTTTTCATGACAAGGGAGGCAAGGACGCTCAATCAGAGATACTGAAATTGTCGACTTTTGAGGGCCCTAACTTTTTTCACAGGCCTTGAGGGCAGTTTTTGAGAACAGATTTGAAATCAGCGTTAAAAACTACATCTAGGGAACCTAGTCTCATTCAGAAGTCCCACTGCGAATGGAGACTTCAGTAATTTTGTTGAAAATTTCAAGTTTCAAACACATTAATGAACAGACGACCCTCCTTCCAATTTTCATAACACTTAAAACTACCTACCTGAGGCCAAAACGTGTATTGTTATGGCCAAATCTTCCTCCCTTACTGACTAGTTAGGTTGAAACTCGATTTCATTCCAAATTCTCCCAAATTTTTGTAAGCGAACCCTTTCTCTCGGGCTGAATAAGCTCTGCACTTGCCCATCTATGTTCAAACAACAAATGGTTAATTTTTTTCCGTCGATTTTTTTATATTATCACCCATTTTTGAAGCTTTTTTCTCACCACAAATGAGGTGGGGGGCAACTTTTAAGCTTAAAAAAAGATGGTTTTCCCGAGTTTTTGGAATATTCTTTTTCTGCGTTTTTTTGTGAACAGTTGAGCTATTGATTTTATTCCAGTTTTTGAACGTTATAGACACAAAAAAACACAGAATTTGAACGACAAGTGAGTTTCAATCGATAGTTTTCAACTTCATATGTCGTTAGTTTCTTAGGCTGATTTTCAAAAATGGCTTCTAATTTTCATAGTTTTTGAACTTTAATCAACTTCCAATTTGGGCTCTTTAACTATAGCTGATTCACGGCTGGCTTGAGCCATCGAAAAAAGGGTCCTGACACGATAAGAGAAGAGATAGTGCTTGGTTGGTAGAGAGCGCAGACACGACACGCCTTCTTAGTGTCCCAAGCGAGCTATGAATTGTCAAAAGGTGTCTTAAAAAACCGACCTGAAGTCAGTCGTCCATTCATCATCGGCTCCTAGGGGCTCTTCAGCCAAGGCGCCGTAGACGGACTGGCTCATGATGTTGTGTCGCGGATTGGAGAGCAGAATCGACGGCGACATCTCCAGCGACATCGCCACCGGCGTCGTTGGCCGATCTTCGTCCGAGGTGTCGCCGAAATGCGGTAACTGCGGCTGGACCACGGTCTCGACGACGCTTCGGCCTGAAAAAGGGCTGGAAATATCTTTGAACTCTTCGGGTATGTGACAGAATAGCTCGTAAAGAATGGCGGTCCTCCAAATTCCCTGCAAGGTAATTTTACTTTACTGGAAACCGGCCCAAAAATCCTCTGAATGAAAGTTCCTCATGGTAATCATCCGAAAAAGTTTCGGTTTGAGAGCCTTTTTGGGGCTATTTTTTGATTCTTACCACTTTAGGATTTTCCGAGGGGTCCCTATAGGGGTTAGGGGGAAACAAGGGGCCGAAAAAGTGGTCCCTATAGGAGTAAAATCAAGATGATGCTTACAGGGGTTCAAGGTCTGACCCCTTAATCTCTAAAGCTCAAGTGGTCTCTATAGGGGCGAATATGAAGTGGCCCCTACAGGGATTTAGGGTCTTTTTTCTCAGCCCTTAAAGCTCAAGTTGACCCTATAGGGGTCATTCAAAAACATTTACTTATTTAGTTTTTCGCATGAAAATGCTTTTTCGGCGAGATTTCATCAAAAAAATCGTCTAGCATGTCCCCTATAGTGGCCACTAACTAAAAACCCCTATAGGCACCCCTTTTGCAAGCTTTTAGCGACCCCCTAGGGGCCATTAAGGTGGTCCCTAAATGGTGCCCCTATAGGGACCGCTCCGGAGTTCCTAAGGCGAAGAGGTCCACGAAAAAAATCTTCACCTACCCATTAAAGGTTCTCGATAGAGCGATCTTGTCATCAGATCATTCGAATTGGAATGAGAACTGGATCTCCTGGAGCTCCGGACACTGTGGAAAGACGCCACCATGTCGCATTCTGGGACCGATTCGTCGAGGTTCTCGACCTGGTCCGCAGTCGTGATTACTGTGATTCGTAGCTACAGTAACCGACAGTAAAATTTTAATTACCTTTATCGTCAAGTTTGGTTAATTGGGGGAGCAGTTGAACAACTTTGCAGCGATAATCTTCATTCTGCGTGCAGGGATTGTCGTCGATCCAGAGGGTTCGGAGATTCGTGAGGCCCTTAATGGTTACGGTAGGGATTACGGTATTTCGAATCAGTTACCTTTAAATGATGGAGCTCTTCGAGGGACTCGATCTTGTTCTTTCGAAGGTACAGTTCTTTCAGTTTTTTGCAGTTTTTCAGGGGTTCCAGTGACTCGACGTTGTTCACGCTGCAATTTATTGATTTTTCATATTCCGAAGAATATTAGTCATTGTTATTTTGAGCCAAAACTTGAATTTTCAGACATTGTTTGAGAAAAATGGTCTCGAAAAAATAAAAGCAAAGTCTGCCGCGACTTGACAGTTTTCACGTGTCTGTGTCTCTCTTTTATCTCACCGGCAAAGTCAGAGAAAAATGGAAATAGCACGTAAAAGTGAGAGGGACGTCGAGAGACAAGGAGGGCGCAGAGAAGTCACGCCCTTTCAAGTCGGGAAGAACGGACTATAGTCAATTTTTACATGGGAATTTGAACCAATAACTCGGAGGAAAACTGTATCGTGAAAAAATTAATACAGTATAGCCTGTGTACCAAGACCTTGAATTTCACCAAACGACATTCCGCTGTACCGCTGCGCGCCTTTGCGAACCTCGGTCGCGCTTTTAATTGTTTTTGTTTTCTTTTATTAAGGTACTCTACTTTCATTTGGCCCCACAGCGATAACAATCAATTGGAAGCGTGACCTAGATTCGAAAGAGCTTTGCGAACACACGCAGCGGAACAGCGGAATGTCGTTCGGCAAAATTTCAACTCTTGGCACACAGACTATAACTTGAAATTCTTTTGAGACGTTGAAAATATTTACCTCAACGATAGAACTTCCAACGACGTCATTTTCTCGCAAACTGCGATATCGTCGATGTTACAACCCCTGAAAAGTTTTTTTGAGATTAGAATTTTTACATTAGTTCATTCACAAGGTTTAAAGAAAACTATCTCCTGAATCTTATAATCTAACTTTGAAAAGATTTTTGTAGATTCAGTTGAACTGTAACCATTTTTTCCATCGAAAACGAATGGAAATTCGGTTTTCCGTGAGTAAAGCTGTACAAGCGGTAATGAATGGACTAAACTCAAAATTTCTATAAATCCTCACCATAAATTCAATTTTTTGACGTTTTCCACCGATGTCTTGGTTCGAATATACACAGTTGTCTCGGTTAGTTTTACCATAGCTGCAAAAAAAAGTAATATTTCCTCGGGTCACAGGTGAAAGCGCCCGACTTGAAACGGCTTTCGCAAGCTTCAATCCTTTCCACATGCGACCAGGTTGAGCGCGAGTTTTCAAGAAAGTAAACTTTGAAAGAAAGATTAAAATAAAGTAATGTTACTCAATATATTGATAGTCACACGTGGAATGGCTCTTTTAAAACGCGCCAGTTTTGAAACGGCTTTCGCAAGCTTTAACCCATTCCACCGGCGACTACTGCTTGAGCGGGAATTTTAAAGAAGAAAATTCGAAAGGAAAAAAGAAAAGAAGTGGAAGTACTCAGTGTGTTCTTGGTCACACTTGGAATGGCTCTTTTAAAAACGCCCCGACTTGAAACGGCTTTCGCAAGCTTCGATCCATCCCACCTGCGACCACAGCTCAAGCGGGGATTTTCAATAGAAAGGGAAAACAAAAATAAATAGAACAACCGAACTTCTTCAAGATCACATGTAAAATGGCTCCTTCAAGGCGCGCCCGACTTGAAACGGCTTTCGCAAGTAATAAGCCATTCCACCTGCGACCACAGCTTAAGCGGGGAATTTCGAAAAAGAAAAATGAAAGGAGATTCAAAAATAAGTGGAAGTACTCAACGTATTCATGGTCACACATGGAATGGCTTTTTTAAAACGCGCCCGACTTAAAACGGCTTTCGCAAGCTTCGATCCATTCCACCTGCGACCACAGCTCAAGCGGGGATTTTCAATAGAAAGGGAAAAACAAAAAAATAAATAGAACAACCAAACTTCTTCATGATCACACGTAAAATGGCTCCTTCAAGGCGCGCCCTGACTTGAAACGGCTTTCGCAAGCTTTTAAGCCATTCCACCTGCGACCACAGCTCAAGCGGGGATTTTTCGAAAAGCAAAATTTGAAAGAAAGATTAAAAATAAAAGTAATGTTACTCAATATATTAATAGTCACACGTGGAATGGCTCTTTTAAAACGCGCCAGACTTGAAACGGCTTTCGCAAACTTTAATCCATTCCACCTTCGACCACAGCTTAAGCGGCAATTTTCGAAAAAAAAAGTTTGAAAGGAGATATGAAAATTAGTGGAAGTACTCAATGTGTTCTTGGTCACACGTGGAATGGCTCTTTTAAAACGCGCCCGACTTGAAACGGCTTTCGCAAGCTTCGATCCATCCCACCTGCGACCACAGCTCAAGCGGGGATTTTCAATAGAAAGGGAAAACAAAAATAAATAGAACAACCGAACTTCTTCATGATCACACGTAAAAATGGCTCCTTCAAGGCGCGCCCGACTTGAAACGGCTTTCGCAAGTAATAAGCCATTCCACCTGCGACCACAGCTTAAGCGGGGAATTTCGAAAAAGAAAAATGAAAGGAGATTCAAAAATAAGTGGAAGTACTCAACGTATTCATGGTCACACATGGAATGGCTTTTTTAAAACGCGCCCGACTTAAAACGGCTTTCGCAAGCTTCGATCCATTCCACCTGCGAACACAGCTCAAGCGGGGATTTTCAATAGAAAGGGAAAAAGAATAAATAGAACAACCAAACTTCTTCAAGATCACATGTAAAATGGCTCCTTCAAGGCGCGCCCTGACTTGAAACGGCTTTCGCAAGTAATAAGCCATTCCACCTGCGACCACAGCTCAAGCGGGGATTTTCGAAAAGCAAAATTTGAAAGAAAGATTAAAATAAAGTAATGTTACTCAATATATTGATAGTCACACGTGGAATGGCTCTTTTAAAACGCGCCCGACTTGAAACGGCTTTTGCAAGCTTCGATCCATGCCACCTGCGACCACAGCTCAAGCGGGGATTTTCAATAGAAAGGGAAAAATAAATAGAACAACCAAACTTCTTCATGATCACATGTAAAATGGCTCCTTCAAGGCGCGCCCGACTTTGAAACGGCTTTCGCAAGCTTCAAGCCATTCCACATGCTACCACAGCTCAAGCGGGGATTTTCAATAGAAAGGGAAAAAAAGAATAAATAGAACAACCAAACTTCTTCAAGATCACATGTAAAATGGCTCCTTCAAGGCGCGCCCGACTTGAAACGGCTTTCGCAAGTAATAAGCCATTCCACCTGCGACCACAGCTTAAGCGGGGAATTTCGAAAAAGAAAAATGAAAGGAGATTCAAAAATAAGTGGAAGTACTCAACGTATTCATGGTCACACATGGAATGGCTTTTTTAAAACGCGCCCGACTTAAAACGGCTTTCGCAAGCTTCGATCCATTCCACCTGCGACCACAGCTCAAGCGGGGATTTTCAATAGAAAGGGAAAAAGAATAAATAGAACAACCAAACTTCTTCATGATCACACGTAAAATGGCTCCTTCAAGGCGCGCCCGACTTGAAACGGCTTTCGCAAGCTTCAAGCCATTCCACATGCTACCACAGCTCAAGCGGGGATTTTCAATAGAAAGGGAAAAAGAATAAATAGAACAACCAAACTTCTTCAAGATCACATGTAAAATGGCTCCTTCAAGGCGCGCCCGACTTGAAACGGCTTTCGCAAGTAATAAGCCATTCCACCTGCGACCACAGCTTAAGCGGGGAATTTCGAAAAAAAGAAAAAAATGAAAGGAGATTCAAAAAAATAAGTGGAAGTACTCAACGTATTCATGGTCACACATGGAATGGCTTTTTTAAAACGCGCCCGACTTAAAACGGCTTTCGCAAGCTTCGATCCATTCCACCTGCGACCACAGCTCAAGCGGGGATTTTCAATAGAAAGGGAAAACAAAAATAAATAGAACAACCAAACTTCTTCATGATCACACGTAAAATGGCTCCTTCAAGGCGCGCCCGACTTGAAACGGCTTTCGCAAGCTTCAAGCCATTCCACCTGCGACCACAGCTCAAGCGGGGATTTTCGAAAAAGCAAAATTTGAAAGAAAGATTAAAATAAAGTAATGTTACTCAATATATTGATAGTCACACGTGGAATGGCTCTTTTAAAACGCGCCCGACTTGAAAACGGCTTTTTGCAAGCTTCGATCCATGCCACCTGCGACCACAGCTCAAGCGGGGATTTTTCAATAGAAAGGGATAAATAGAACAACCAAACTTCTTCATGATCACATGTAAAATGGCTCCTTCAAGGCGCGCCCGACTTGAAACGGCTTTCGCAAGCTTCAAGCCATTCCACATGCTACCACAGCTCAAGCGGGGATTTTCAATAGAAAGGGAAAAACAAAAATAAATAGAACAACCAAACTTCTTCAAGATCACATGTAAAATGGCTCCTTCAAGGCGCGCCCGACTTGAAACGGCTTTCGCAAGCTTTAAGCCATTCCACCTGCGACCACAGCTCAAGCGGGGATTTTCGAAAAAGCAAAATTTGAAAGAAAAATTAAAATAAAGTAATGTTACTCAATATATTGATAGTCACACGTGGAATGGCTCTTTTAAAACGCGCCCGACTTGAAAACGGCTTTTTGCAAGCTTCGATCCATGCCACCTGCGACCACAGCTCAAGCGGGGATTTTTCAATAGAAAGGGAATAAATAGAACAACCAAACTTCTTCATGATCACATGTAAAATGGCTCCTTCAAGGCGCGCCCGACTTGAAACGGCTTTCGCAAGTAATAAGCCATTCCACCTGCGACCACAGCTTAAGCGGGGAATTTCGAAAAAGAAAAATGAAAGGAGATTCAAAAATAAGTGGAAGTACTCAACGTATTCATGGTCACACATGGAATGGCTTTTTTAAAACGCGCCCGACTTAAAACGGCTTTCGCAAGCTTCGATCCATTCCACCTGCGACCACAGCTCAAGCGGGGATTTTCAATAGAAAGGGAAAACAAAAATAAATAGAACAACCAAACTTCTTCATGATCACACGTAAAATGGCTCCTTCAAGGCGCGCCCGACTTGAAACGGCTTTCGCAAGCTTCAAGCCATTCCACATGCTACCACAGCTCAAGCGGGGATTTTTCAATAGAAAGGGAAAAACAAAAATAAATAGAACAACCAAACTTCTTCAAGATCACATGTAAAATGGCTCCTTCAAGGCGCGCCCGACTTGAAACGGCTTTCGCAAGCTTTAAGCCATTCCACCTACGACCACAGCTCAAGCGGGGCGTTTCGAAAAAGCAAAATTTGAAAGAAAGATTAAAATAAAGTAATGTTACTCAATATATTGATAGTCACACGTGGAATGGCTCTTTTAAAACGCGCCTGACTTGAAACGGCTTTCGCAAGCTTCGATCCATCCCACCTGCGACCACAGCTCAAGCGGGGATTTTCAATAGAAAGGGAAAACAAAAATAAATAGAACAACCAAACTTCTTCATGATCACACGTAAAATGGCTCCTTCAAGGCGCGCCCGACTTGAAACGGCTTTCGCAAGCTTCAAGCCATTCCACATGCTACCACAGCTCAAGCGG